GATCGCATCGCCTCCCATGTGAGGCAGTGGAACTGGGGCTGGGATGTGGATGTGGATATGGACTTCCCCCCTCGCATATACTATGAGTTATAGTAAGTGTCCTCGAGACGGCGTGACTGCGATTGCGACTCCATCTCGGCGCTCGCCGTCTCCAGTCTGAAATCGCCCATCAAATATGGTCAAATGTGGCACGCAGCGGCATTCGAGGCACGATAAAAAGATAAATCTTGCCCAGATATTTGGCAAGCGTCGTCCGTCCATTATGCAATTTGGGGAGAATTTCCCAGCGACACCGAAAATTGAATTTGGAGAATTATAGCGAGAATGGCAGCGAAAATGGCAGCGAGAATTGCATAGAGAATTGCTTTGAGAACAATTAGACGACATTCTCCAATGGCTAATTAAGTTGTTAGAGCAAGGCTGGATGCCTTCGAGGGGTGTGGCTTCCAAAATTGGGCTCAGCTCTAATCAGTGAATTCAATTAGCGCGCGCGGCTTTCCAATCTCAGGCTCCCCCGAGCTGGGAAATGCCGCCTTTCCTGCGACTCCTTTGCCGGCAAGTGGTCTGCCTTCAGAGATTGCAGCTCCAAGCTCCTAAGCTCCCAGCTCCCCGATCGCGTTGCGTCATCCGCTCTCGACGAGAATTGCAGTTTCACTTCGGCGCAGCCGAGATACTTCACAAATTGGTGCTGCTTTGGCCCGCTTTTGTTGACTGCTGCTGACTCTGCTGACTGTTTGTCCGACGACGTCGACGACGCTCAGATCGAAATCTAGTCAAGATCTGTCCTCCAGTCCGCCGCCGTCCACTGTCCGACCGCTAGAGGAGTGCGTCTCGTGGTCGTGGCAGTATAAAAGTAACGCAACGCACGCAATCCACTTACAGTCGCTATTCTCCCGCCAAGCCAAGTGATTCGAGATCCCGACGATCCAAAAGCTGCCATGAAACTGTTGGTGAGTTGAGCAAGGATTTAGTGAGACAAGAAGCTACACACAGGGAACCCTCTTAAAAGGATTTACATGTATCAATTATCCTTTTTCCCTCCTGCAGATCCTCACCACTCTGCTGGCTGTGGCCCAAGCCGCTCCTGGTCTCCTGGACTATGGTCTGGGCCACACGGCGCCGGCCATTAGCTATGGCCATGCTCCTGCCATCACCTATGCGGCTGCCGCGCCCGTCATCAAGTCCTATGCCGCTCCAGCCATCAGCTATGCCCATGCTGCTCCAGCCATCAGCTATGCGGCTGCCGCGCCCGTCATCAAGTCCTATGCTGCTCCAGCCATCAGCTATGCCCATGCGGCTCCTGCCATTAGCTATGCTGCTCCCACGGTGGTCAAGTCCTATGCAGCGCCCGTGGCAGTGGCTGCTCCAGTAGTCAAGGCGGTGGCAGCTCCGGCCACCAGCTACTCACACTTCAGCTCGGTAAGATATTGATATACCCAAACTTTATGAAGGATTTATGAAGGAGTAAATATCCCTTTTTGTAGGTCGTCTCCCATGCCACACCCATTATCAAGTCCTACGCCGCGCCCATTGCCGTCAAGTCGTACGCCGCTCCGGCCATCAGCTATGCTGCTCCTGCGCTGGTCAAGTCCTATGCCGCCCCAGCTATTAGCTATGCCGCTCCCGCGGTGGTCAAGTCATATGCCGCTCCGGCCATCAGCTATGCAGCTCCCGCCCTGAGCTACGGCGGCTACGATGACCATGGCTATGGCTATCACTAAGCCTGCGCTTGATACCAAAACCGCTCCAAGTCAGTCCAAGTACAAGTCCCAGATCCGGAGCGGGTGGAACAGAGAGAGAGAGATCTGTAGAGTCGCAGCAGCCGAGGCACGTTCACCTTTAGTATTCTTCACCCACTTGCCCACGTCCAGTAGTCACTCACGTCCTACCAGGATCTGTCCTAGTTCTGTTTACTTCTTATTTATTTAAGGAAAACCTTAAAAAAATTAATTATTCTCTGAAATGCAAACACAATAAAGGAAAATTTTCATTTTTCACAAGCCACTCGTTATATTTACGACGGCAAAGATGACGATGACCACAACAGTGCTCAGGTTGTTCAAGATCTTGGCCAGGTGGGGCCAGGGTTTCTCCTGGATGTCGCAGAAATCATTGGCCTGAGGGATATATACTTAAGATTTTACTTTGTAAGGTTTTAATAATAACTAAACTCACATCGGCCAATCTTAGGCCGAGAATGCAACGCAGGACATTGCAGTTGATTACGGCTGCCAGGCAGTCAGGAGCCTTGGCTCTGGGTGGATGCAATTCCAGCCACAGCAGGCAAATGTGCAGTATATAGCAGTAGCTGGTGGTAATCATGACCACCTTGTAGGCAGACACTAAGGGGAAATAATAATTTAAAATTAAGTACATTTATGAATAGATTTTGGCTTACTTATGGGCGGCACATAATGCGGGGAGGCGTGGCGCGTCAAATACATCATTCCCCAGGCGGTGATCAGCAGGGCAAGCAGAATCAGAGCACTCCTTCGAGAAGAACGCAGGACGAATGACAATATCAGGAAAATCTGACAGGCTATAAAGAAAATATTTGTTTATAAAATTAACTATTTTAAATATATTTCTCTTTTCCTTACCAATCAGTGGCACATAAAACACGGTCATGTAGAAACTACTATTCCTCTGAATGGTAAACTCAATGGCCACATCTCCGGCCATTGTCTGGAGCGTGCTCTTCTGGGTATATCTATTCGCCGAATCATTGCCCACTTGCACCACGGATATGTCGAGGAATGTCCAGCCCGACGGAGTGTTCACATGCTCATTGGGTGCCACGGGGCTGTGCTTTTGATCGTAGATTAACGCCAGATTGCCCTGGTTGTCACCCTCCTGGCCGATCAGGCCCAACTCGATGTCGCATGTCACACGCTCCTTGGGCCAGTTGCGTGCACTGTCCACACACCAACTGGTCAGCTGCAGGTTGTTCACATACAGGGTGACATTGCCGTTGGAAAAGACACGCAGCTCGTAGGATCGCAGCACCTCGTCCATGGAGTCCAGGGCGCCATTAAGGACACGCATGTGCGGAGTCCATATTTGCAAGTCGCGATGCTCAAAGGATTCCAGATAGCCAAAGTCGGCGGGATTCCAGCGCAGTCGGTTGTCCTGCCAGTGCTAAGGAGTGAGAATCTGTAGGTTATTATTTTTATCTTTCACTTATATCTTTTCATATCTACCATCAAGAATCTCATGCGAGTGCGGAGCAGGGAGTTGGTCATTTCATAGGCCAGTGAACGCGTTTGGAAGTGGAAAGGCAAGGAAGTGAGATTGGCTGGCAAACTGGCATTCTCCGCCTGTAGATTCAGTTGAGCCAGCAGTTTCTGCTCCGTCGTTGGTGCCTGAACATCAGCCGATATTTCATGGCCTGCAATATATTAAGGCTTGTGAAAACTTTACCCTTAAAAATCAATCATAGGATTAATTGGGAGATCAAAATAAAACTATAAACTTAAGAGAAATACAAAAACCCAGTTAAAAAACTCATTGCCTTTATAATAATTGATGTTAATCCTCACCAAATCCATCGAAACCGCAATCGTAGAACCACCTGGCGGTATTTGTTCCAAAGGAACTGAAACTAATGTAGTTGATGGTCAGCGCAGAGGCATCGATGAACTGCAGCAGGGGCTCCTTCTTGAAGCCGGGAATGTAAACAAACAGCTCGGCATCTGCGAAGGAGAGATATATGGATGAATCGTTTTGGGAGAGTCAGATAAGTCCCGAGACTCACTCTGCGTCTGGACAATCTCAATTGGCGTTGGGTCGTACAGAGATAGCAAGTTCCGATCTTGATTCGTGGACACGCGCCTGACACCCATGGCGGTGCGGATAGCGGAAAATGTATTTCCGCCGGCTCCTATCACTGCAAGGCAGAGGGTAAACCATATCAAAACGAAGCCCGTATGGTAAAGTTAGGGGTGTCCCAGTAACCTCCTCCCAATGAAGGTTTATTTGTTATCTCAAATGAAACAGAAGCAATTAAAATATGATATGCCTGCGGTTGTTATAGGAAAGAAACCCATAAGTGTTCTAAATAAAACTCTAATTAGGGGAAATATATACAGTAAAACTAAATCTTTTTATATACTAAAAAAATAATTTTAAAAAAGCTTAGAATTCAAGTTTGTGGCTCTGAAAAGTTTCATATCTTTCAAGACATGTATTATACTAAGTCTTTATCTTCAAATGTCAAGTTCATAAAAAGTCTTTATCGCAATTCCAAAAGAAAACGTTCAAAGCTATGAGAAAATCACAGATTTTAAAGGCTTCTTCTCTTTGAAATCTAGATGAATTCTTCTGGTACTCTGAGAAATATGTTTTCACCTGATACTACCTACCGATCTCATATACCCGGTCGTTCGGTCTCACGTGATTCGTCACCGAGAGCAGGATGTGGGCATCCATGGTGGTCAGGACGTAGAACTTCAGGTGCAGTCGCTCCCCGGCCTTCGCCTTGTTGTTGTCCAGGGAGTTGACCATAAAAAAGTCCCGGTAGGCATAGCCCGCATCCCGTATAGAGTAGCTCTCGCAGGAGTCCAGCTGGGCAAAGCTCACGTTGTACTTGCCATGGGCGATCGGCGGTGCCAGGCACAGCACAGCCAGTGCCACGGAGCACTTGATAAGCCAGGAAGTGTTGTCACACATCGTGCTGGTCCGGTTCTTTGTTGATTTGCTCTCAGAATTGAACTAACGAGCGCTCGCGGAAAGTTACTTTGAAATGCCGGGCAGTTATCGATCGGACAGTTATCGATCTACGATAAGTTTGTCGATCGATTGCTATCGCTCGATAGGAGAACGTTAAATAAAAGTAGCTTGTTATTGGGAGTACTTGAAACTTCTGCTTCATAATATGTTTTGAATACACTTACATCTAGGTATTTCAGTACACATTTATTCTTATTTTAATAATACAAAATAGTTTTCACGCTCGAAAAAGCTTCCAGACCTGCCGGCAAGAGTGACCCTACTCGCAGTATATTCGCACTCACCGCCTGCGGTCACACTCGGCCACTGACCTGTTATCAACAAGAACTCTGCCACTTTTGCCTTGTTTTAGTTAAACTTTTGGGCCTTGATCCCAAATACCGGTGACTCCAGGTGACCCCCACTGGCCATGCCCGATGAGACGCAGGATTCCAAGGCGCAGAAGTTGGCCGCAGCGAGGAGAAAGGTGCGAACCGGCGGCGGCCTCGCTCACAATTGTTTTGCTCTTGTGACGTGGACAACATATTGGGTCTCTAATATTGATTTTGTTTTTGTGGACACAGCTGAAGGAATACCAGCAGCGCAACAACAACAATAATGGACAGTCGGGAGCCGCAGCAGCCGAGGAGGCGGTGTCGCAATCGCACTCGCACTCCTCCACCGTCAGCATAGCCAGCAACTTGTCCGAGCGCTCCGACAGCGAGCCAAATGTGAATGGCAGCGGTGGATCCGGTATTGTTGGCTTTCAGCAGCCGGATCCACCCGCAGTCCTGCCCACAGCGGCATCTTTTTTCACCCAGAGCGAGCCGGAGGCGCCGCACAATGGTGGCCTTATAGCCGCTGCCGACCCCTCCAACCTGCAGGCCATTCAGGTAATCATTGCGGAGAAGGCCCAGCTAAATGCGGAGCTCACCAAAGTTCGTCTGGCCTGTCGCGAGCGTGACCTGGAGCTGGAGGAGCTGCGCACCCTCAAGGAGCAGACCCAGCAGCGCCTCGAGCAGGTGCAGCAGCACTGCCAGGATCAGCAGTCCGCCGGTGAGCAGCAGCGCCAGCAGTACGGTCAACTGGAACGCCAACTGCAAAAGTCGCAGGCACAAATCCGGGATCAGCAGTCCCACCTCCACGAGCTGGAGGCCCAGCTAAAGCAGAGCAACCTGCGACAGGACGAATTGCAGCAGCAGCTGTCCACGAAATCGAATGAGCTGGAAATGGCCCAGCTAAAGCTGCGCCAACTCTCCGACGAATCCAGCATCAGCGCGGACAACCGTGTGGAGTCGCTGGTTCAGACCCAGTACATGTACGAGCAGCAGATCCGCGACCTCCAAGCCATGGTCGGTCAGCTGACGCAGGACAAGGAGCAGGCGGGGGCGCAGTACCAGAACTACGTGCAACACCAGAGCAGTGAGATAGCCAAGCTCAATGAGCGCAACACGGAGCTCGCCGAGGAGCTCAACTCTCTGAGAGAGCGCGAGCGCCAGCTGGTGGAGCATGTGAGCGGCCTGGAACGGGACATACAGAAGAACCTGAGCCTGCAGGCGCAGTTCAAGGAGGCGGTCAGCCAAGAGCAGCCGTTGCCCAAGGAGGAGCAAACAAGCGACGAGCAGGTAAGCCGAAGCATTAATTAAGTCTTCATGGCTCTAAAATCTCTTCCAGATCGCTTTGCAGGCAGAACTGGCTTCGTTGAAGGAGCGCCTCTCCGACCTCGATTTCGAGCGTCATGAATTCCAGCTGAAGATCAAGTCGCAGGACGACCAGCTGCAGCTGAAGGAGTCCGCTCTAGGCGAACTGGAGCAGCAGCTCGAACGCCTGCAAGCCGTGCAGCCGGATCAGACCAAGCTCCTAGCCACCATGGAGTCCGACAAGGTGGCCGCCTCCCGTGCCCTCAGCCAGAACGTGGAGATGAAGCAGCAGCTGGACGAGCTGCAGCAGCGATTCGTTCAGTTGACCAACGACAAGGCCGAGCTGGTCATCCGCCTGGATGCCGAGGAGTTTGCCAATCGCGAGATACGCCAGAACTATGCAAGCATGGAGCAAAAGCTGCAGGCCACCGAGGAGCGCTTTACGTTCAAGGACGAGGAGATGATCCGGCTGTCGCACGAGAACGTGGAACTGCAGCGCCAGCAGTTGATGCTGCAACAGCAGCTGGACCGCCTGCAGCATTACGAGGTGCGTTGACTCTTCCTAAACCTTGAACTCGATTGAAAATTGTTACTCTTTCTCCAGGCCAAGGCTTACCACAACAGCCAGGAGAGCCAGGCAGGCGAGACACTAGAAAATGATGCTGAAAAAGAGCATAATCACGATCACAACGACCATGGGGATCATTCCGGCCATTCACACGACCACTCACATGATCATGCCGGCCATTCACACGACCACTCAAATGAGCATTCCCACGAGCACTCCCATTCGCATTCGCAGGAACCCAACCACGGGCACAATCATTCACATGATACCAACCACAGACCTTCGACAGCTGGCGGCAGCCTGCCGACTGCCGAGGCCGTGGAGCGTCTGCAATCGCGCTTCACCACACTGATCAGCCAGGTGGCCGACCTGACCGAGGAGAAGCACAGCCTGGAACACCTGGTCCTGCAGCTGCAGAGCGAAACGGAGACCATTGGAGAATATATCGCCCTGTACCAAACGCAGCGACGCATGCTCAAGCAGCGCGAGTACGAGAAGGCCGCCCAAATGCGCCTTCTCCAAGCAGAGCGCGAACAGTTGCGCGAGAAAATCGAGGCGCTGAACAAGTTGGTGAGCAGCCTGGGCGTGGAGCCGCCAACACCAACAGGTCCCGGCCAGACCCTTCAGCCACACGAAGCGGCAGCAGCAGCAGCAGATTCTCCCGTCGCCGACGAAGGCGAAAACTCGCAGCAGATCATTAACAAGATACAGGACATCATCAGCGAGATCAAGGAGAATACGGAGCAGCCGACACACAGCCATTCCCATGCCGGCGACCATCTCAACTGCTGCCTGGGCAAGTTCGAGGTGGTCTGAAAAGTCCACAGACTGCTCGCCAAGTGCAATTATCGCCTGCTTACGTATATCCATTAATCATTTTTGCTACTGTATTTAAATTTGTAATTTGTAAACAGCTTTCCCCGCGTCTTTTGTAAATGTTTCCAGCGCATTGTGTCCGCGAGTGAACCTAGTTTGTGCATCTGAGAGGAATCTACAACTTGGACCCCCAACTAAAACGTATTATTAAACAATCGACATGACAATATTGCATTTTCTTATGGGTAATGGTTTTTTTGCACAGCTGATTTCGCAACACATGAATTTCTTTCGGTTTTCTATAAACCCAATTAGATTTTAATTGTTTCTTTTCGGGTGAGGGGAATAACAATGGTGATTAATTCTCAATAAGAAATTCAGCAATTTTCATTGATTCCCAGCCGAGTCGATCTAGCCATATCCGTCTGTCCGTTTCTACGCAAACTAGTCCCTCAGTTTTAAAGCTATCTGAATGAATCTTTGCATATAGTCTTCTGAATACTCTCATTGGTATATATGTCGGAACGGGCCGGATCGGACGACTACATCATATATCTGTCATACATATAATCGATACATTTTTAGAACAAATACTATTACTTAGGTGAAATGTTATAAAACAAAGGTTGCTTTAAATATGGTTTCAAATTAATCCATTTTTCAATTTTTATTATTATAAGGTGACATACATACATATTTTCTACAAAAGTTTACAAAAAAATGAAATGAAAATAAATAAACATAATAAAAATATTAAACAAAATGCCTTATTCTTTATTTTTTTTCTTTCCCACTGATGGGTTTCGCAACTTATCCCTTAGGCTGGGCTCCGATAGTTTCGTGGGCCGGCACCTGCGACTGGGTCGTTGATTGCTGCTGCTGCTGCTGTGGCAGGTCGTGGACAAATCTGTCGTTTGCTCCGCTCCGGGCTCGGATTTTAGTTTCCGTATTCTCACCGTGGGCTGGAAAATACTGCTCCTTGCTAAGATCTCGCTCGTCTCTTTTGCGGTAGTAATTGTATGCTCTGGAGACGACCTATTGGCGATCGGAGTGCTGGTGTTGGAGGCTCTCATGTGAAAATTTCGTTCAAACAGGCTACGTTTTAATTGGCTGGCCTGCGACCTAAACGAGGGACTGCCCATCAGGGAATCGTCGCGCTTTGGACTGGCCGGGGTCAGCACCAGCCTTGGTACCTGTATGCTGGGCTGCTCCTTGGTGGCGTTATCTGTATCCAAGAGCAAGGGCTCTTTGGCCCGAGCGCTCGACCGGGTCTTCATTCGGCCACTCGCTTTAACATTTTGATCGATTAAGCGAAGAGGTCGTCGTGGCGGACTGAAATTATCAAAGGATGAGTCGGATGAGCTTGTTTCATCTTGGGTGAGATCCAATCCGAGGGAGTAATCAGCCATTATCGTCCCTGCCAAGGAGTCGTCAACAATGATCTCCTCATCGGAGGAGCCATCATTCTCTACATTCTCTTCCCTTCCTGGTAAAGGCGTATTCTGTTAGAAAGAAGAGATGGGTTAATAATCCAGATACCGTGGTTGTATACCTTACAGTGAGCTTAGGATCTTTATTTGGTTCCTCCGGTACTATGCCGGGGCAGGTTTTGGGGCTGCCAGCCAAGGCGCTGGCGCTGGCGCCATCATTCGCTTTCTGCACTACCCTTTGTGGAGTCGTGGGCTGCTAGAAAGAAGAGATGGGTTAATAATCCAGATCCAGATACTCAGACTGTAGAATTTACCGCGAGTCCAGGCACTTCCTTTGGTTTTTCCGTTGTTTTGCCGCGGCGTCTGGTTGGGGAGAAGATTTTGGAGCTGCCAGCCAAGGCGCTGGCGCTATCCTCCGCTTTCTGCACTACCCTTTGTGGAGTCTTTGGCTGCTAGAAAGAAGAGATGGGTTAATAATCCAGATCCAGATACCCCGACTGTACAATTTACCGCGAGTCTAGGCGCTTCAGTGGGTTTTTCGGTTGTTTTGCCGCGGCGTCTGGTGGGGGAGAACATTTTGGGCTTGCCAGCCAAGGCGCTGGCGCTATCTTCCGCTTTCTGCACAACCCTTTGTGGAGTCGTGGGCTGTAAGATAGCAGAGATGGGTTAATAATCCAGACACCCCGACTGTAGAATTTACCGCGAGTCTAGGCGCTTCAGTGGGTTTTTCCGTTATTTTGCCGCTGCGTCTGGGGCTGACAGCCAAGGTCCTGGCGCAGGCGCTATTATTCGCTATCGGCACTAACCTTTGTGGAGTCGTGTGCTAATAGAAAGGAGAAACAAACCAGTTGAATAATCCAGTTACTCTGGTTCTTCTCTTTACCATGAAGGAAGACTCTTCATTTGACTCCTCTGATATTACTGTGAAAGCCAAGGCGCTGGATACGTCGTTCTCTATCTCCGCTCCGCTTTGTGATGAAGTCGTTAGCTGTTAGCAGAGAATCGTGGGTTAATAATCCAGATACCCTTGTTGTAAGCCTTACCGTGATTTTAGGCGCCATGTTTGGTGCCTTCGCCATTGTGTCGCGGTGTCTGGAGGGGGAGACGGTTCTGGTGCTGCAAGCCAAGGCGCTGGACTGCCTCATTTCCTGGCACATTTCCTTGGAGCTGCGACGCCGCTGGCCGGCTGGCGATTCCGGCGGGGTGCTATCCGCCAGACTAGCGAGATCAATATCCATGCGCCGCATAAAGCACTTAAGAAAGCAGATGTGATCTTGCCGCATGCGGTAATTCTCCAGAATCCGGGCCTGCCGCAACTCCATGTTTTCGCGTCTCAGATTTGTCACTTCTTTCTTGTACAAACCGAGCTCCATGCGCTGCTTTTGGACATGGTCCATTAACTGCGCGTTTAGCAGTTTATATTGCTGTTCCACTTTGGAAGCCATTTATTGCTTTTATTTCGCATTTACAGTTTACAAAAGACGGACGCAGACGCCAAGTTGTTTGAATTGTCATATCAGTGTGACCGTGGGCTGGAAATGAAAACAAACCTTTGGGACAGAGAAAAAAACTGTAAATGTGTATAAATACTAATACACGACAGTCCGGCAACACAGCGTACACAGAAAAAAATGTTATAGTTGAATATATCCAGAAGTCGAAGTTTGTATAACATTATAACTTGATCATTTCAGAGAATTGGAAAGTGATCATACCTAAGCCTTAAATAAATTTAAACCAAAAACTTATTCATTTTGATTCGGAAGTTTTTCTTTCTTATAAAATATTATTAATATTGATTTTAGAAATTCTAGTAAATAGAAATTATTTTGAATTGTTGGTAGTTTTAATGATAATAATAATGATAATATCCATTTTCATTTGTCCTAAATAGATCGATTCCTAACGATTCTTAACGTTTTGTCCCAAAAATGGATGGCGTTAGATGTCCACCTGGTCCTACTTTATGGTATATTTCCAACTAGGTATTTTAATGTTCGCGTCGCTCGGTCAGACTAACAGCCAGCAGCACAATAAATTTTTTGTTTTCTCAACCAAAACCGTTGAAAAGCCTAAAATCCGGAGCAGATAAACGATGCTGCAACGTTAGATCCCCGAAAATAGAAGTAAATAGGCGTTTCGGGAAGTGTTGGAGCCTCGTAAGACTCCCACGAAAAGTCTAGCAAATCAAAAGGCTGTGTGTGTGTACGTGAGTGAGAGTGTGCTATCGGAGTGTGCCTGTGTTTGTGTCCAAATGAAAATTAGTCAAATTTTATAGTAGTTCTGCGAACAGTTAGGCAGGCATATCTCGGCCCGCCAGACTTTTACACATTTCTACAATTTATTCGCGATTTAGGAGCAGTTGTTGCCCATGGGCAACACGGCATACACGGCACACAACACACATCATCATACATACATGTGTACACACAGCACCTGCGTACATGAACGATCGCGCGCGTGTTAAAAATTAACGAATTCCAACGGTCCAGAGGATATCCAATGGAAAAACCTTTGGGATGCTAATACACCTTCCATTGCCTTCCATTGCACAGAGCCGAAAATCGTTCACCACTTCACCTGCTAAAGCGTAGAGCCATCGAAAAGCGCCGGAGGTCTGAGAATTTCATTCAGAGAAGCAGCGCACACGGGCCGATCCGAAATCAAAAACCCGCTTCAAGGTGAGTCTGTTTGTAAATCCAACCCGTTTCTCCGCACTCAATTAAGTGCATTCAAGTCGCTGTGAATTCGGTGTCTTATCGATAACAGCGCGCTGAGCTTATCAGCCCGAAATTCGCACGGCCGCTTGGAAATTGGAATATCCAGAGGCCCTCTACATATTAGGTACATTTGTTTTTGTTACATACATATTTTAACCATTATCTTATCGCCTGGCCAATTGTCGCTACGGCATTCGTGCCTAACGATGGTGTGTATATATAATTGCATTTGCCAAGATACGGGTTAGGGGTCCGATACACCGAGAACTAGATTCCAGAGATTGCTTTGTTAGAAATGATTAAATTATGAAATTATTTATGTTTTTCATTAGCTAAAATTGATCATTTATTAACAAAAAATATTAAAATTTCAAAAATAAACCACAGCTTTTTTTCATTTTGGTCTAGTTTCCATAGTTTTCTTCTGTGCCAAACAAAGGCGTACCGGCTAAAAGAAAAGCCCGGGTGCAACAAACTCGGGGATGTGCTTTGATTTGTTTCTGGTTCCATCGTCAGCGGCGAATGCACTTTGCGTTTTGTGTTTGCTGTCGCTTTGTCTTAATCACATTAAGCAAAACGCCCGGCACGCGACGCATGACGAAAGCGAGTGCAACACCAAAGGGCCAACAACGGGCCCCCCTTTTTGTACAGATAGCTATGGCCGCCACCCACGCCACCCCCTTAACTGACCTACAAAGGGTGCATTGCCCGTCCCGTCGGCCGAATTCACCATCTAAGGGTTGATTTAGTTGCTTGCCATTCCGATGCAAGAGATGCAAGGGCTGAACTTTGAGGGTATGACATAATCCCGGAGGCTTTCTCTTTGTAGCTATTTGGAAACCTAGTATTAGATTAATTATTTAGTGACTTATTGAAGAAAACTTAATAAATTTGAATTTATTTGTGAGGTTACTTAAGCTTCTTATGAATCATAAATAATATTGGAGTAGGACTGAGTTAAACTAAATAATTATCTTCTTCTCTTATTAAAAACCGTATGGTTTTATGACTTATTGTCATTATAAGACAAGACTTTACCAAGACCTTAGGTATCTGAAGCCCTTATACTTCTTGAAATATGGCTTCATCATATCTTAAAAATTTCCTTAAAAAAAGCAGTGTAAATTATTCACAGCCAAAAACCCTCCCCAAAGTGTTAACCGTTCGGGTAATTTTATGCACGCCATGCTGCTGCAGGAAACGCCACAAAAGGGCACCCTCAGACATTGCGGGTTCAATGTCATTGGCGTGGGGTAGGCCAGGACACCCGCTGGAGTCTGCTGCCGTCTGTCCCCCACCAGCACATGGCAAATGGCACTCGGGTCGGAACGGAAGGGGGCACTGAAAGTGCATACAGAAATATCGAGTGCTGCTGCAATGACACACGCAGAGATCGGGGGAAAAAGGCAGGCAGGCAGGCGGAGGAGCACTTGTCGGCCTTGTGTGCGGCCATTTGTCAGTTGAATTTGTTGTCATGCATTTTTCGAGCACTGCATCACACGGGCCTTGATTGGCATGGCACGTAGTGTACGCCTGGCAGTCTCTTTATGTTTGGGAATCTGATTTATGCTGCACTTCCTCGTGTAACCTGGAACTGAATCATAAAGCGATTGCAGTTCCAGTTACATGACGAGCCCCATGCCGAGGGCTTTCGCTGCCTCCAAGTGGATGGATGATGACTCATAGTGTGCTGGAGACTTTGTTTACATCACTGTTTAGCTGTTGCACTGAGGGAAAAGTTTATAAACTAAAACATAATTTTGAAAACGTTTAAAGTTAAGGTATAACATAATATCTTTGGTCATAAATTGTTCTCTGAAGATTACTTCAAGGACAAATTTTTGTTTCTTATTTTTTATAAATATTAATTAATATTAGTAAATTAATTTTCTCAGTGTGCCTTGTTGCCTTATTGCGAACCCAACACCGTTGTTGTCATTGAGTTTATCGTTGCCAATGTTTTCGTCGTTGTTGTTGCCTCTCGTCTCCGGCTTTCATGATGTGTTTGCATTAGTTATTTAAGCATTGTGCGACGGCGCTGAAAAACCGCATTTTAATAAACCTCCCGAGCAACAACAGCAAGTGCAACAATGCAATATTTATCTGGTGTTGTGTGTTGTGTCGTGTTTCTGGCGGTAAGCGAACACCACTCGCATGATGCTCCCTTACATCACCCACAAACACACTCCATAGTAACTGATAAAGAGGCAGGCCATGAGGGGGCGGCAAAAGAAGAAGCTTCGAATTACAAAATGCAAATGCAAAAATGCAAAATGATGCATGGCGAGAAACGCTTAGATTAGAACAAAGCTTACAGCTTAGTATTATAGATGATAAATAGCAATATATTATGGGATATGGGAATATAGGAAAAAGCAACAATAAAACATAGTTAAAGAACCAAGTTAGAAGGTATATTTTGTCATTAATTAATAATAGATAACTTTATCTCTTCAAGAATATAAACAAATATTTAATTTTTAGCTCTGAAAAGTCAGCTTGCTTTTCCTTGCTTTGTTTTGGATTTATTTGTTTGTTTTTCTGAGCAATACTTTTTAAAAACCAGTTTACAACTATGACTGAATATAAGGTTACAAAGCTTAGACACCTATGAGTCATCTATGAAATCATAAACGTTATTATATACTAGAAAAACGTACATCTAAGATGTCTAAACGTACTGTATAACTAAAATTATAAGCTTTTGATACTTAAACAGCTTTACAATCCTTTAGATTTCTACAAGATGTGTGTATCTCTTAGATATCAACCGAATTCCCCCTTAAAATATCCACCACAAGATTGGTTTTACGTCAGCAAGAGTGAATGACTGCCTCTATATCTAGTATATACGGTCATTCACAAACAAAACAAAATTATAAACAAAAAAAAAATCGGCATGGATGCGCTATATAAAAGCATTGGCATAAGACATGGTTGCGGAGCGTGTTGTCTTTTGATTTCGGTTACTCCGGAGCTATTTGCACGGCGGTCACATATTATATATATTATATATCCGTACATCGTGTGGCTTTTGGAATTTCAATGATGCGTTTTTATGCTCCTCTCTCCCCTGTGAAATCATCAAGAGCAACAGCAGCTGCACGACAAGCGACTCGCAATTGAAATGTAAATGTTAATTGTTAGTCCAATGGTTTTGGCTTTGTGTAATTGGAACTTGGCCGCGGCTAAACGACAAAAATAAATTAAAGAAATTGAAAGCGAAAGTCTGGATACAGTTTGCTTCAATGATTTTGTGTGTATAAGCTGGTTTTTTTCGTTGAAATCAGAACTTGAATGAATCACTATTTAATGTGCATTTTCTTCTCAGGCGGATACGGATTCAGAGCAAACACTTTAATCTAATTGCGGTTGTCTTTTGTTGCTAGCAAAAAAATGTATGCGAGTTAATCATCTTATTCCTTATTTAGTCTTTGATTAAATCGTTTTATGGTTTGTTTTCATAATGAAACATGCCCTAGAAGTCATCTCGAACCCATATAAAATTATAAAAAAGTAGGTTTATGTCTGTAAAGTTAAAAAGAAAATATTACAAATGAATTGTAAGCTTCCAAAAATATATAAAAAATAGGCACTTTCAAAGAAAATATTAATACAAACAAAATTTAAGTCCCACCTTAGAACCAGCAACTCCCCAAGAAACCCCCGTACCAGGGGCACCTTTTTACGGAAATTGTCAAGTAAACAAAAAGCCCGAGCTAAACGAAAGAAAAGCAAGTCAAAGAAAACACAAATAGGGCTGAGAAAAACCTCGGCAAATTACCGTCATTAGGAGAACGGACAAGCAAACTGTTTCAGCCAGAAAAGCGAATGAAACGATACGAAAGTTGCGACATACCTTGTGGTTTGGGTATTGTCTTACGCATTTAACACCCAATATTTGACTTACATAATGGCCGATGGCCGATAGCCGATGGAAATGATTTTTGACAGTCGAGCAATTTACAATTTTGTCGTTTGCGTGTCGGGAATCGGAATCAGAATGAATGGTCGGTCAGGAGGAGAAACAGGAGGAGGCTTTGATTCAATTTGATTCGATGTCGCTGCCCCATCCCCTGGCACAACACGCCCTTGTTTATACATACATATAGGTAGGTGTATGTGCATTTGGGGCAATTAACTTGATGACAGTTTATTGGGGCAATTCAAAGGCGTTCTCTGGAGCAGGAGGAGCGAAAGTGGCGAAGGCACACCTCGCTAAAAGTTAATTGAATGTGAGTGCCAACTGGTAACCTGAGGATAAGAGCAGGAACTACAAAAAACAGGATCGCCCGTATATAAAATCGCCCCAAAAGGGAGTGACTCATATCGCCATATCGCTGAGAACCGCCTCAGTTTATCAATTAATCGATTTGGCTGTCATTGAACCTTCTTTCTTCATATCAATTGTTTTCAAAAATAAGAAGGCGACCACCGAAAGTAGCGATTCCTACAGTCATCAAATAAGAACCATTGCTGAGATGTTGTTCCAGAACTGAGTAATGGGTTTTTATGCTGAAACTTGATTCACTTTAATCCCCAAAGACTGATTATTTCTTAGCTTTAAGTGTTTTTAATAGTTCTGGAAATGTTATATTAAAGTAATTAAACTTTTTTTTAGTTATTCCGGGTTTTTTCTTTCTTATAAATTTAACACTACATTTTATTAGCATATGAATGCTTATCTTTACATTCCCGGAACGCACTGTCCTATCACCCCAAGTCAAATTTGCTTTCAAACATTCCCCTCCCTCATTCCCCTGCGTTATTGACTAAATACTTTTATTTTCGCTGTGTCTGGCCAAACGTTTTGGGCGATAAGATATAGAAACTTTTTAAATACTTGGGGTCTTATGCTTATAATTTCCAACGAATTGTCCAAGCCATGAGTCACTGCCCGAAGGTAATATTTAATTTGAGTTTTGAGTGAATTCAAAGTCAGCTAAGAACTAATGCAAATATATTGGGGAAAAATTAAGATTAGGTACAGGAAGTTTACTCAATATTCCAGTGAAATTGACTAAATTTACTAAAACGAAAAAAGAATACCCTTCTAACTGTTCAATTAAACGTCGTGTATCCAGCTGAATAGTATGATTCATAAGATGGTAGTAGTAGTAGTGACTATAGCCGGAGGGGATTCCATCCAAGTGGACGGCAATTAAGGAGCTTGGCTTGGTTTTGCCTTAACTTGGCCCACTGTGCCACTTTAATGACTCAAGACAACAGAGAAGGCCCAGAGACCGACGGGTATTTCGCACGTTTTGTGGCCCATGGCTTACGGTTAAGCGTTTCTTCAGCGGATCTCTGTGACTGTGGCTCTGTCTGTGGCTTAGCACATCTGCAGATTCTTCTCATCATCATCACCATCATCATTTAGTCGTAGCCCGATGACAAGTGCTCGCTGTCTGCGATATTGGGGCTTCTCTTTGTCTGGACTGCTGCTGGTCTTTGTGTCTTCCAATATCTAAAGTGACGTCACAGGCTGTTAATATTATTTTTATCAATGTGTTCACTGCTAGCTCTCTCTTTCCCAGAGCCTCCAAGTCTCACAGTCTCAGTCTCGCTCTCTCTGTCTCAGTACTTTTCTCAGTTTGGGGCATCGCATGCGCAGCGTTTGGGAGCTCCTTCAGTTGTTTTTCGACTCGCGAACTGAGCACAACGCTCTGGGAGAGAAAAAATATATATATAGAAAAATAAAAACAATAAAATACACTACGCAGAAAAGCGAGTTTTGTTTATGTGCAAAGAAATAGCAACCAATTCGTTAACAACAAACAAAATCAGCGGGAAGCTCGAATTATCAAAAAGTAAATAAAACAACAAAAGGTTGATAGTGTGTTTATCAAGAAATAAAACGATTTCCCTTCGTTTTTTTCACCTTTTCCAATATTTTTCGGTGTTTTTGTGTGGAATTTCAATTAGATTGACGCTGCCTTTGTAGATTGTTGAAACACTTGGGCCTGATCATCATTTGTGCAAACTTGTAGCCATAATCATAGCCTCGCCAGCTCATCCAGGTGATGCCTCTGCCCGAGAGCTTGGCCTCGAACCTTCCGCCATCCAAATACTGACCATTCAGGTTGCTTAAAGTAAAGGAAATCGTTTGATAAAATAAATAAAAAATGTAAAAATCAAGTGCTAGTGTTACCTTCTTTGGCACTGATCGTACCACCAGGCCCCCACATATCTCCTGGCGCAGCCATGACCCAGGACATCATGATCGAATGTGGAAAAGGGCTTTCCCTTGTGATAAGCCAAGGAATCCCCAGCATCTCCTGAGTATTTTCCCAGAGTTTCGAGGGTATATGAAGACGAAGCATTGCCAATCACAAAGTTATCGTAACGAGCATCCCGTGAATCGTCATAGAAATCTTGTATGTGAACATACAACTCGTAGGGTTCGGCGGTTGTAAGAAAGTGTAGTTTCTCCAGTCCTAGAAAGAACTCTCCACTCAGCTTGCCAAATCCCTGGCTGTACTCCTCCCAACTGCGATAGAAGTTCTCACTGCCATCCCGACGCCGCAGGATCACAGTCCAACCAGAGCCAGCCAGGCGAGTGTCACAGTAAACGGGAAAGGGCTTCAGCCCAGGCACTTCTATGGTGTGAATGCCATTGGTGTTGATCCCAGCAGCCAGGCAGGAGGAGGGATAAAGTACTGCAGGAAAGGGTGGTGAACATCAAAATCAATTTGTATTTAAAATAAAACTATACAAACTTACCTTGATTAACTGCTTTTTGTGGTGTCTCTGCCACCTCCAAGTATCTCTGTTTCAGCTCTTCCAGCTGCGTTTTCAAACTAATAGTCACTTTTAATAGTTAAGTCAGACATTAAATAATAGCAAAGGCAAACCTGGTCATCAAGCCATCAGCTTTATCGTAAACCATTTGTAAATTATGGGATTGGCCATTAGAAAATACACCTAATAAAACAACACCTATAATAAACAGCTTCATGATCTGCTACCTAAGCTTGCTCTAAACATTCTACCTCAGGTTTATTTTCTTTAGATCCTCAGACATATATAGCTTATATATAAACTAATTTCCTTATCAAAATTGCATTGAAAAGCGTAGGTCAAGTCAGCCTTGAGAGATAATCCAGCAGGAAGTTGAGAGAACTAAACTATTTCCATGAGCAATTGTTTTATATATATTTCTTTATTGCTACTCTCTCAGAGTAGAGAATGTGACGATGATGATTCAATGACAACACTTTTTGCATGTTAATCAAGTTCATAACAAATTGTTTGCACGTTGATCTTTGAGGCCACAAGGAAAATGAATAATGTTCTTGGGATGAATCACGAGGGTAGGTTTCGGCACTTGGGTCGTATCATCATCTGGGTGATCTTATACCCGTAGTTGTGGCCACGCCAAGAACGCCAGCACATGCCGCGGGCGAAGAGCGCCTCCTCGTACTTGCCACCTGGCATATACTGACCATTGAGGTTGCTAGGGATAATAGAGATTGAGATATATTATAAAATAGAAGCCAAGAAACCCACCTATCCAAGCAGGCATTATACCACCAGCCTCCGAGGTAGTAAAACGCACAGTTTCTATTAAACTCGCGATCATTATCCCTATCATATGTGGAGAACTTCATTTTGCGATGGGATCTCAGGGAATCTCCTGCAGTTCCTGTGTACTTGCCCAAGGCATTCAAGGCAAAGTCATCCTCCTCGCTGCCTATGGCAAACTCATCGAACTTGGCATGCTTTTTCTCACCATCGAAATCTTCCAGATGAACGTACAGTTCGTGTGGTTCCAGAGCCGTTAAGGCGCGTATCTTCTCGAGACCTAGGAAATACTCTCCCCTGAGATCCCCAAAACCATTTTTGTACTCTTCCCAGTTTCTAAAGAAACTGAGATTACCACTAAACCTGCGCTGGATCACAAGCCAGCCAAGACCAGCTATTTGATTTTCACAGTAAACGGAAAAGGGAGGCAGTTCTGGCACTTTAAGGGTGTACAAGCCATTCTCTTTGATTTCAGAACTCAGGCAGGAGGTGGGATAAGGCTCAACAGCTTCTAATAACTGGAGTTCCTGCTTTAAACTATAAAGATTTAAGTTTAAAATACAATTTAATTTTAAAATCCAGCTACTTACCTGCTTAGTAAACCCTCTGACTGCTCGTAAATAGCCTCCAATTGTTGTAACACATTCAGCGACTGTCTCAGTGTTAATTTATACAATTTATTTTATAAGATTTCCCATTTTAAACTCACCTTCACTGAAGAGAAAATTGATAAATAAAATATGCATTTCGCTTGGAATATTCTCCACACAGAGAACTTCATGTTGTTTAGAGATTCGTTTCGCTTGTAGTTATATTTTTGCCTTTTGCTAAACATTTTATTGCCAACAAAAAAGAGGAATGTGATGTCTTATCAGCAAGCAACCTTTAAAATTACTTGTGATTATGATTTTACTGATAATTATTTACAGCTTTTGAGCTATATTTTTTATTTTTTGAAAGCATGCGCGAATAATATAAAGCCAAAGAAATTTTAATTGCAATCAAAACAAAGCTACAAAACTCACACACATAATGATCTGTAAGATCTGTAGGGGATCACGTGGGCATAGCCTTAAGTGGGCCGTTCCAGAGCCTCCAAAACTGTACAGCTTTACGCGCTGTTTGAGCTTTAAATTTCTCATTTTGTCTTAATGGATTTTACATTAGGGTATAATAAATATTAGAAGGTTTATACAGCTTTGTTTAGTGGATAAATAAAAAAAAAGTGCCTTAACTTCATCATTTTAATTATTTTCCTAACAAATTTGGTTAATTTTTAGTAAACCTTGATTTAAGCCATCAAACATCGTCTTGACTATTAATCCATAGCTCTTGAAATCTAGAGAATTTCAGGCTTCGGTGCTTTGGCAACTCTTTGCTTGCCTTTTCTTGTTATCGAGGCGTCAATCTCAAGACAACAGAAAACAAGACATAAATAATAAGTTATAGAAATTGTATTATAAAGACCCAGAGAGCCAGCCAGCCAGCATGAGTGTGTGTAGAGTGATGTGTGTGGTGTGGTGTGGTGTGGTGTGTGGGTGGTGACAGCGGTCTTTGTTTTGAAACCCCAAAGTCTGGGCCAAAGTCAGTCTTGAGCCAAAGCTAAGCAGAGGCGGACGCAGCAGAACTTGTGCCTCGAAAGCATCATCTCCAAAATGAGATTGAAAAGAAGTTCCAAGAAAAAAGTACAGACCTTTAAAGTGATCTATTAATTTTGTAATATCTTCATACAATTTACTAATAAAATCATGTATTTCTGTTTAATCTCAGATGGCCATACCGCCACCACCGGGACCTCCGCCCCCGCCAGGACCGCCTCCGCCCCCGGCGATGGGTGGGCTCAAACTGGGCGGCGCAGCAGGAGGAGGCGGTGGCCCTGATGCCCGGTCCGCCCTGCTCAGCTCCATTCAGAAGGGCACCAAGCTGCGCAAGACCAACACCGTGGACAAGAGCGGACCGTCCTTGGCGGGCAAGGTGTGTGGATCGGAGGGAGGAGCTCCTAGCAAGCGGACCCTCAATAACAACAACACCAGCAACCACAACAACAACACAAGCAGCAGCAGCAGCGGCAGCAGCAATGGCCTTGGCAATGGAGCCCCCAAATTGGGAGGCCTGTTCGAAGGCCTCTCCCAAATGCCAAAGCTGAAGCCCGTGAATGGCATGCGCGGTAGGTTTACTTCTCAAAACGTTGTTAATATGCAAATAAATATGGCTCAACTTCCGCTTTCCGCCCACACACACACACAGCCACACCACCATCGTCCGCAACAAAGTCTACGGCGACCGCCCAGCAGCAGCAACAACAACGCAGCAATAGCCCCCCCGCCGCCGCCAGCAATGGACCCATGGACTTTAGCTCGGAGCTGGCCAAGCACTTGACGCTGAAGCGCCAGAAGCAGCAACAGCAGCAGCAACCTCAGCCGCCAGCGAGCAACAACACACATATCAATGCGACAGAAGCCAATCTGAGAACAAACCGAGGACCACCACCGCAACCGCCAAAGGTGAGACCCATGCCAAGGCAAAGGGCTGGGGCTACTTTATAAATAGGGAGCAGAGAAGGGGGTTGGAGTATATATCTATTTGTGGGTTTTAGTTTGAGGTGGGAAAGAGAACTAAAGAAGTATCGAAAATATATAGTTTTTGAGGAAATAAGAGAGAGTTTTTAGTTTTTATAAGGCTTCTGGGGAATTTTATTAACGAGTCTTTTAGTAAATATTAGAAATATTAAGAAAAGAATAGAGGTCAAGCTGTACAATATACTTAACAATTTTATTGTTTTAGGATCCAAAGAATACAATCATCTTCTCAAAGAATAAAAGGTGCTAAAAACATATTTACAGGGTAATGAGAATTATGTACTTGGCACCTTTATCTACCTTATACAATGATTTATAGGCTTTTACTCTTCCATTAATAGCTCTGCTCCTAGTTAACCTTTTAAAATAAATATACAACTTGATAAATTGTAGAGAAAACTTGAATTAAAAGTGGATTTGAAACGAGTTTCCTCACAAAGTAAGGCATTTATCAGGGAAGTACATTTCTAGCAAACAGATTAGCATATTTGATGAGTTCCTTAAAGGCAAATATAAGAGAGTAGCAAATATAGAGGTTACTAGTAACCAGTTAGTGGATCAGAAAGTGTCGCCTGGCGCAATCCCATTATCAACGCCACAACTAATCCCAGAGCATTGTTTTCTCTCCAGCAGCCAGCCAGCTCGAGTGATTCGATCTTGGAGCGCATGAACATCCCCCGCACGGCGCCGGCACCGGCACCCACCTCCTCTGTTAAAGCGGCATCGCCCACGCTCTCGGACAGCGGCAGCAGCGGGAGCAGCGGCAATGGAGGCAGCGTCAAGAGCAAGGCGGCCAATCTAAAGTAAGTGTTTGCCATCATTTTCGGTGGGTTTAAGGTCCACACACACACACACAGTTCTGTTGGAATATATGTACATAAATGAGTTTAAAATTTAAATGAAATCATAAAAAACTAATTATTTTACAAGTGGAGTGTAAAAGGTTCATTGTTTCAAGCACTGAGAGGTTTCAAGTGCTTGGTATAGTTTTCTTTATAAGTAAATCCAAGATAGAGCACCATATTTCTTATAAAATCCCTAAGAAAACTTATTCCAACAGAACTGCTCTTATGCTAAACATTGCCTGCCGTTTTTTGGGATGGTTGTGTTTTGGTTTATATTTAACTTTATTGTAAATTTGTTTTCTCTTGATTTTCTTTTTTATTTTCGGTTTACTTTTGACGGGACTCTTTGTGGTTATCCTCGCACACACCAATCACTCCACAAACACACTCTGTACCCATGCCACACACAGTATCTCGTTAGGCAATAGTTTTGTAAATAGTTCAAAGACATCAGCAACAACAACGACCACGAGTAGTGCCTCCTCGCTGAGCTCCAGTCAAACGTCCTCGATGGGATCGCTGCGCAATCTGGCGCCCAATAAGTCCACGCTGTTTGGTGGTGGCTCTAGTTCCGGTTCCGTTTCCGGTTCAACTTCCGGTTACAATTCTAATGGTGTTGGTTATGCAAGTGTCCAGAAATCTTCGTCTTCGTCGTCGTCATCGGCCGACAACACGCCCACGCCTATGAAGCCGGCCATCAGCTTTGGCAAGCCCAATTTTGCCCCCAAGCCACCGGGCCTGCAGCAACTGGCGCTGGCCAACGGACAGCAGCGTCCGGCGGTGACCAGGCATCACAGCATGAAGTCGCCCAGGTATAAGATACGAACTAAGCACGCTGCGCCGCTCATCTGCATCCCAAATCCAACTCAAACTCAACCTCGTTTGGGGGTTTGCTTTATGCTTATGCTTTATTCACAAACTTTGATCTCAAGGATTTTCAATTAAGCTCAAACTTACGCCTGGATATTTCCCTCTATTAGATCTCCGCCAGCGGCTGGCAGCGTCAATGGACCCGTATTCCCCACCCAGCAGCACTTGGGCACCTTAAGAGGTCCCCTGCAAGGTCCTTTCCATGGCAGTGAAGCAGGCAGTCACAATACCAGCGCTGGCAGCATGAGATGTGCACCCAATCCGCCAAAGTGTGAGTATTCTTTGACCCCCCAAAATCCAAAAAATAAATCCCCAACTCCCTACTCTCTCCCCTCTTCAGCCCGCCCATCGGTAAAGCCACCACCACCGCCCACGCCGGCCCGCAGCTTCTCCAACAGCAATCTAAGCAACATTGGCGGCGGCTCCACAACGGCTCCCTTTAGTGCTGTGAACACGGCCTTGATCCAAAGCTCGGCAACCACCACGCAGGCGGCACCTTCGCCGCCCATAACCCAGCCCCCGTCCTCCTCCAGCAGCAGTAACAGTGTGGCCGCTTTGCGGGATCAGTTTCGGGCGGGCGGCATGTCCAATGGAGCGCCATCCCCACCGCTGCCGCCCACTCCGGCTCCCACCACCTCCTCCTCATCCGCATCATCCTCGGCCACGGCCAGTCCCAAGTCCTCGATGATGATGCGCGATAACGTGAAGCCAATTATACTGAACGGAGGACCCATCAATCCGCCAGCACCGCCACCGCACAGGAGCTGTCCCCCGCCACCGCCGCCGCAGCGACAGTCGAGCAATGTGAGTATTCCGAGGGACACGGGGACAGCCATGAACTCTGACATTGAACAACAGGTTGGCCCAAAAGGCCAAGGGAGTTGCCTTGGCTAGGTGGGGCAGGGTAGTAGGAGAGTGAGCTTTACAATGCCAAAAGGGAAAAGTTTTGTTTGAGGGAAAATTAAAAAAAAAGACAGGTTTTTAAAGAAGGCTTAAGATTTGTTGGATTTCTAAGGCAAACAGATGTTTTTATATAGAAAAAAAAATTGGTTTATTTAGGATTTGGTTAGTAGGATTCCTTAATCTCCCATTCAAAGCTTAGATAACATTCTTTCAAGTGTACCTGCTGCTGGACCTATCCTAAAGCCAGCTTTGTTGCCAGCTTTCCACCCCTCAGCTGCTTCTATGCTGATTCTCTGAGGCTCTCCCTGCGCCTGCGCCTAGCTCCTGGCTATGCGCACCATCCATCCATCCGTCCGTCCGTCAGGCAGGCAGACAGTCAGTTCTAACGAGTGTTTCGTTTATAACTCACCTATTTTCGTGTGAATCGTGCCAGAGAGCAGGGGTTGGATTTTCGATTTTCCAAAAAGCGAGACGTGACCAAAACACACACTGGCCTTGCACAAAAAGCCACAGAACTGGGCCTTTGAGCGCCTGCATTAATGAGCTCCTCCTGCAGCTGCAGCAGCAGAAGCAGGAACAGAATCTAGTGGGTCGCTGGCTGTGGAGGAAACTCGGATCCTTTAGGCAGCGAGTTCAGAGGAAGCGTGAGGAGGCAGTCCTGCTTGTTATAATGATGATGGTCAACAGCAAGCGCCAAGTAACTACGGGAACATATACCTATAATAATATACGTTATAAATAGTAAATCAAATACAAACTTTCAACTTGCAGGGCGGCTCTGGAGCAACGGGAGGAGCAGCGCCAGTACCACCGCAGCGTCACTCTTCGATCAGGCCCAATGCCCCATCCACACCGCCCACGCACATGGCCAATGCCTCGCATCAGTTTGGCAGCAGCTCGGGCCTGTCCTCCGGATCGGGCTCGGCCAGCGTGGGACGCCTGGTCACGGATCTGGAGACAAAGTTTGGCAAGCGTTTCCACAACGTCACCGAGTTCCCCAAGCCGCCGCCGTTTCTAAATATACAAAAAGTCTATCCTAGTCGCACGTTTAAGGCCACCAACGGTATGTAGACGTCGTCGTGTGTGTTCTTTTGTGAGTGTTTCCCAGCTTAGTACATAGATGCACACACACACACACCATACACATGGAATGCTGTTATATAATGTAATTGTTTCTTAAGGCACACAAGCTCTGGCATTTTAAGTTTCGAACTCGAACAATCTATACAACGATCCATATCTCCACAAAAGTATATACGATATATATGATTTTAAAAGCAGCCTTTGATTATTTGTTGTTTACTTTACTGTTTACTGTTGTTAGCGAGCAAACGAAATAAATATATGAGAGAGGGAGAGTGTTATATATTTTGAATAGCTTTATCCAAAACATTATATATATTTGCATATATTTTATACCATTTAATGTTATACACCTTTGTTAGTGAGAGGGGAACGGAGCGCTCCCCTTTGCGATATTACCACTAAGCACACAACACACAATATTATTACGCCTAGTTTTACCAACTTCTAAACTATATACTATAAACCATATACTATTTACTATATATATTTAATTTAAATGTATGTAAAGCCACATTGTATTCCGCCTCCATTATATACATTTCTGATACATGTAGCGCATGCTTTTACTTGTACCCCATATGCCCCATATATCTTCGCATTATCCGATATATCCGATGAATATATGTTTAATTTTTAGAACGATTTGTTTTTCATTTTGAAGTTGACTTTTTTGGAGGCAGAAGAAACACAATAAACCAAAATTCAATTGGAACATGAACTCTTCATTTGTGGTTTCATTATTTTATGTTTGTTCTTTTTTTAAAGGAAGAGCAGAGCATCTGCGTTTCGGTTATTGGTTCGGTGTTCATTTGTCCGTTGCAGCATTCGGTTTTTGTATTGAAAAAATAAGGTTTTTCTATAGGTTATAGATATTTTAAATCAGTTTTAAGAAGCGAAAACCTTTTGGATTTTAATATTATTTAAGTGCTACATAAACCTAACTTTATTTTATTATATTTGCCTTTCTTCTAAGCGATTTCAAAAACCTAGACATTTTAGAACTTTAAGTATTTAATATTCTAAAATTTTCCCAATTTTCAGCTTGATTTTTCTTAATTTTTTAAGCATTTTGTGTAACTTTCCTCTCACTTTTCTTCTGCATAAAAGCACAGTTTCCACTTGCTCTTTCTTCTGCATTTGTCTTATGTTTTACTTCCCATTTCGCTTGTATAAATTCCATCATGGGAGCTCTCTCCTTTAGCTACTCTATCCTTTGCTGTCTATCCATGTTTGTATATATATATCTCTCTCTATACCTTCCTCCTCCGATTCTCCGACATTGCCCGTGATCAGCACCCAGCAGCGGCGTGAATAACAACAACAACAACAGCTCGGTGGCCAGCAACAACAATACAACGACTTCCAATCCAGGAGGAGGAGCAACCTCAAGTCCTGCAGCAGCTCCTCCTCCACCTCCAGTGCTGAAGCCGGCATATGCACCTCTGAAGAAACACCGAGCACCAGCACCACCACCGCAAGCAGGAGTGGCCGCCGCCACCGTTTCAGTTATCCGGCAGTCGAGTTTTCTCTATGGCGGAGCAGGAGCCGGAGGAGGCGCTGCCTCTGGGGCAGCGGGCACCAGCATACGACCACAGTCGCAGCCGGCGGGGATTGGGCCGCGCAACTCCACGGTATACTGATCGGGATCGGGGGGATAATTGTATATATTATATAGAGGTGTGTGTGTGGTCAGCTTGTGTAAGTAATAGCGAGTGTTGATCGTGCAAAATCTCTATGAAAAGTATGTGAAATAAACCAAGAACAGCACACAGAAACCAGAAAAGAAAGAGCTTCGTAGAGAGCCCCAAAAATTCGTTGGCATTGTCTTCCCAGGCTGCACAAAATCACTGGAGATCAGAGCTCCCAATTAACTCCTCTGACTTTCAAACCGAATCGTTCTCTCCCTGAAACCAAGTGCTATTTACGAGCGATATCACCAATCTGTATATAGGATATAGCACCGAGAGTTAGTGAAATTATCAAGCATCTATGTATATTGATTGTACTTACTTGTAGAAGCGCGCCTCTTTATATAAATATGTATCTAACTAGACTGAACATGTTATTAAAAGCCCAAACAGCAACAATTAATTAATATGTAACGATATATATTACGATCTTTAGAATCGACTACGCGATGTACGACTTAATCCCCTAGAGCAATATGGTACACAACGTATGAGCAAAAATGTTAACAATGTTGCAATAATGAGCACAACCGAGAGAGCATTTCAACGAAACTCGTCGCACACACATTCCATTTTCCATTTCCATTTCCCTCTCCGTCTTAAGTTTCGACAGTTCGTGTGATAATCTCAAAAGGAGTATATGCTATACCTAGGTAATCTATCTATCAGCTGTGGTTGGGTCTAGACATTTGTTAAAGCCTCCTTTTTGAACGGAATATACACTATTAGTATTCCCTATTATTATTATTAAATTCAATCATTGTTGTTGGACTTGGTGTCATTAGAACAAGTATTATTAATCAGCAATTGCATAACATTTATTATTCCGAATCATTGCAGTTATCAGATAAATAAAATTCAAAGAAAATCATTCACAAAATTGAACAAAAATCGATGTTTTTATTCGGAAAGTCGAAGTTTTTATACTTTTGCAGGGTTTTAGACGATCATAACTAAGTCAAAAATGCTTTAATTTCAATTCGAAAAGCGGTTCTGAGTTAGTTTTTATTAGTTTAATAAATCTGCTTACTTAATTTATCATTTTAGGAAATTAAAATTTTTGTTAATTTTTGGATATTTTAATGATGTAACCCCTTATAAAATTTTCAAAAAAATTAAAAAAATTTTTTCGTTCAAATTATGGCTCATTCGACTCGCCTGTTAATGCTGATCAAGAATATACATATATGGTTTATAGGGTCGGAAATGAGTTTTTCATTGCCTTTCAAGCTTCTGACTGCAAGAAAATATCGAATTTAAGGTAGGTAATATTTTGATTTTGCTCTTAAGATTAATTATTAAAGTGGTATAAGCTCCCCTCACTCTTCCAGCTCCTTTGCACACATTTTGTATATATTTTGAGTATGTTTTTAAATGCCTTTAAGCCAATAACAACTTTCAACTTAAGCCTAGTTTAAATGTAAAGTAAAGCCTTGTCTTGGTTACATGTAATGTTTAACAAATCGCACTTTTGTAACTTAAACTCTAAATAATATGGCTGCTGCCCTCGCCTAGGCCACCTCGTTCCTTTCCTTCAGACTTTGCACGGCCTCCTGGAGGCCCTGATCCTCCCGCTTGCGTTTGCGTTCGCACTTGGGGCACGGCTGCTTCTCGTTGAGGCACTCCGCATGGAAAACGGCTCCACAGGCCAGGCACTGCAACAGCAAATAAATACAACAAAAATCGTATAATAAATGTATTCCAAGCTCACCCTAAAGGTTGTGCTAATGTGAAACGGATAGAGCACCCTGGGACTCTGGCAGATCTCGCAGATGAAGCCCTTGAGCTGGCACAGCCGACACTTGAGCACATGCGCCTCGCCCAGCTTGAAGGCCTTCTGCAGCTGCTGGCACAGCACGCCGCGCTGGATCAGGCCCAGGTCCGCTATCGAGTACTGGTGGATGTGCTCGTAGAGATACTCCCGGCCAGAGAACTGATGCTGCAGAAGCTCGATGCTGGTGGGCGGCGAACAGGTGTACAGATAGGCCCTGATGAAGTTCAGACGGATGCGCAGGGACTGCAGCTCGGCCATGGCATCGGAGGCGAAGTAGATGCTGGGATTTAGGAGCTGCAAATCCAGGAACGGCTGCGAACGGAACTCGGCCAGGAAGGTGGCTGCCCGCTTGCTGACGCTGTACTTGCGGAAGTCCCAGTTGTAGATGATGCGAGCGGGTATCAGTTGGGTTTCCACATCCATGCAGCTGTTGCAGTAGTAGCTGCCGCTCAAGGCGCAGACTCTGGAAGGGCAGAGATGGTAAGAATGGCCACAAACCTGTCATTAAACTCACTGAAAATTTGAGTAACCAATGCCCAGCGGATGCTGGCAGCTCTTGCACAGAAATCCCTGGGCATTCAGGCCCGGCTCCCGTGCCAGCTGGCAAAGCTGGGCCACCATCTGCTGGAGCTCCACAATGTCAAAGTCGGAGGTGAGCAGCTCGAACTCGGAGTTGGTCTGCAAAGAAAGAAATCCCCTAAGAAACAGCTCGTTTCCTTTTTCTCTACTCACATCCAAGGACTGCAGATCGCTTAGATCCTCTGAGACAGGAGCTTCGCTCTCCCGCTGAGGCACATTCAAGGTGGAGGCACTGGCCCGAAACTTCTCCCAGATCTCTGACCAGCCGGCGCCGCCCTCGCGATTGCTCTCGTGCTTGCGCAGCAGGGCATTGTAGCTGCACCTGTCCGTGTTGGGGGAACGCAGGCTGACGCTGGCCGTGCTGCTCATGCTCACGGATCGCTGGAAAAACCTCGACCCGGTCAGCTCTTCAGTGGGCGAGGTGGGTGAAGAGGTTGGCAAATCACCAGACCACGAGGTCTGCATCAGATTAGACAGCGAGTTGCTGCCCTGAGGCAGCATGCTGGGCGCCTCAATGTCCAGCTCGGCAAAGGCATCCTCTACCCGATGCTTGGATCTTTTGCGGTTGCGCTGCTTGCTGCCGGATGGAGCCTCCAAATCGGGCTCTGCCTCCGCCGCCGTCCTTGTCTGCTGCTCTTCTTCGTCTATCACATCCATTTCATCGATCTTCTGGATCAGCAGATCCAGATTCTCGCGATGGTCCAGGTCGGGCACGCCGGCGAAGTTGCCGCCGCGGCTGAAGGGACTGTTCGAAATGGACTCCGAGAAGAGCTCGTTGGTCTGCAGGGGCTGCGGCGTGGGTATGGCTATAATATCGGAGGCACCCAGGGAGCTGGCCACGTCCACGCCACTGCTAATGGGACAGGACTTCATGGCGGGCGTCCACAAGTCCGAAAGCTGCAGCGAATAATCCGGCCAGTGGTTCAGCAGGCTGGAGTTCACCGGCAGATCGAACTGCACACTGGCCTCCAGGCTCTCCATTATCTTGCTGGCCGTTTCCAGGCCCTCGGAGTCCCGCACCAGGGCGTTCCTCTTGTAGTATTGCGACAGGGCCGAGCCATTCTTGCGCATGTTGTTCAGATACGAGGAGAACACCGACTCGTTGAGGGACTGACGCACCCAGGCCCGGCACTGTCCAATCTCCGTGGTGATCTGGCTGAGGCCCTGCACCTGCTCGATTACCTGCTTGTGCATGAAGACCATGCAGGGCGACCAGAAGCTGGGATCCGGCCTGCGCTCCACATCCCCGGCTAGCACATTGAAGGTGGCCGACAGGAAGGAGTCCTTCAGGCCATGCAGGAACAGCGCCTCCAAGGTGGTGCACAGGGCACTGGTCTGTTCGCACAGCCCAAGAACCTCTAGAAATGTAGGGTAAGAAATTCGATAAGCCATTTCCGGGGGAGTACCTACTTGGGAAACTTACCCAAGCTCTTCTGCTTCACCTCGAACTCGATCTCGCGGGCATTCTCGTTCAGCGTGTTGATCAGGGCTCCCTTCACGACATTTTCGCGCTTGGATGAAAAGTTGTTAAGGCTGCGGAAAAGGGAGCTCATTTGGTGGTTTTTCCCTTTTGTCTTTTGTTGTGCTTTTCCATGCAGTGTGACCAGCGAAGCTTTGTGGCAGGAATCGCGCAACGCCCCCGCAAGTGGTTGAAATACCAAAATATACCAGAAGCGATCGATAGCCGATAACGTTTTCAAACTCAAGCGCGGCTTTTTGGGTAATTGTACAAATGAATTACATTTTTTATTCACAGAAAAGTTAAGTATAAGCCACTAACATTACGAGTGATATTTAAAAATCAAGCATATTTTGACTGGCTTGCAGAAAAAATGATATCGATGAGCGATAATAATTCAAAATACTGCTGATGGTCACCCTAAAGTGGTCAAATCTGACCGTTACTTTAATGATTCGCATAAATCAAAGATAAATTAAAAGTAAATTACATTCGCTTCAAACTGAATCCATTAATACCTGTAAGAATCAAGGCGAGCACAAAAAGGTCACTAGTTTTGTGCGATCTATGTGGTCCACAACGATAAGCTGCGATGCTATGCCAAACCCGTTCTCCGGTGGTTATTCTTGACTTTCTTCTGTCACCTGGGATCACAGAGCTAAGCTGTGTGAATGCTCGATTATGGGAAACAAAAAACCCCACGCAAATTAGAAACGACAAACCTGAGGAGGATTATTAATTGGGTTCGAGTGAGATAGGAACTCTTGTTATTGTCGTGTTTGGGTTTTTTGGTATTTGGTTTCAATGAACCGTCGCCAGATATATCTACATATATTCTCTGCAGTCCGCTAAATGAGTCAGGGATCGTAGATTGTTAATGAAAGGCCCCGAGCATCCCGACTTTGGGGAGACAAGATGAGTGGGAAAAAAACAAAAACCCGATGCACGTAGCCAACTGATATCGAAATTTGTGTTAAGGTCACGGTGACCAACAAAAGCAAAGTATTTATGTATGTATGAGTATGGTGTTGTTGTTGTTGTCAACGCATTTTTCAATATTTTTGCAATAAAAAAACAACAAACACAACGATTGTTGTTGTTTTTTGAAGAGAAGATGCGCCGAAACCAACTGGTTCAGCATTCAAAATGCAAACTGGTCGCCCGCTCGCCGCTTCATTTGGCTTTTCGGCGCAATTTTTCGGTTATTTTTTTGAAAAACACAAAAACAACATTTTCCATGTGGGCTGCACGCCGCAAATTGCATTTTATTGAATTTTATTAATACACAAAAACGGGTTGCGAAATCGTTAATAAACATAAACAATTTGGCAAACAGTAATTGCGAGACTTGTTTCGTTTATTGTTTGTATTTTTGTATTTTGTCGAGGTTTGAAACAACCAAAAAATAAATGCAATGCAAATAAAATCATAAAAAATTCACCATGTGAATCAACCTTTAAAGTTAAAACCTTGGCTAGAGGACTTAAATCTTGTTGTTTTTTTGTCTTGACAAGAGATTCAGTCATAAAAAATCATAAAATTAGTAAAGCAAGGCGGAGTGTGGAGAATTTTAATCTTTTCTTTACTTAGTTTTAAACATTTCATGTTCATGTTCATGTTTGAAGAATTCCTTAAATTATCCTAAAAGATTGTATTTTTCTCTCTTGTTAAAAATAATCGGGAAATTCCTTTGCAAACTTGATAGCAAACAAAGAAAATTAAAGTTCGACAAAGGGAAATCCGTAAACCCTAATACAAAACATAACAAACCAGTATATTTAAATATAAACCACTATTTGTAGTACAGACTAGCACTTAACTTGTCTTAATTTTTTCCCTTGCATATATTTTTATAGCAATTTTCCAACAATATAATTTGCATAAAAAATATGGCTAAAGTGGGCTTCCCCATTTGCAAACCGTAAATCGGATTTCGCATGGGTGAAAAAGCCGTTGCCAGTTTAAAGTTTGTTGTGTGACATTAATGACTATAAACAATTAATAAGGCGCTTTGGGTGAAGGGTCGCGATGGGGACGACAGTGGGGACACATTTCCCAACCGGAGCGGAGCTCTCTCTTGACTCTATTAAAGTAAATAATATGTGGCGGCATTGTGCCTCCGTTGACTTGGCTGACTTTGCAGTTTTCTCGGCTCTTCGTGCTGCCAGGCGGCCAGCGTGTTGCCATTGTTGCGGCCAAAGAGGCTGAAAGCAACTAAAAGAAACGAAACGAAGCGAACTGAACTCTGAAATGTATAAAAACGTTTGTTTTCGTAATACAATTTTGATTACTTCTTCGACGCCAGCCGCCGCCCCATTGATGGGCATTGTCTCAGTCCCTAAGCGCTTTGATTTATGGCCCGGGCTGGGTTTTTGGGAGTCGGAGTTGTCGGGCTGAGAGAGATCAACAAAGGCCTCTGGAGGCGGCGGCGGCAGCTACCGTTGGCCATTTGCCGGGATCACAGACCATTTGGCAATAGCTTTGTTGTAATTGTAACGATAATAACAGCCGTGATTCCCGACAATGATGATGCCCCGGCCCAATGGTCAATCATTGACATCACAGCGGAGACTCCGGCAGGGGCTGAGGTTAAGGGGAGGGCTTTTAGACCTTTAAGAAAATTATTAAAAATATTTAAAATAATATAATATAAAAATATAAATAATGGTGATAAATAATATAAAAATAATAATAATATATAAAATATAGTTCAGAAAAAGTTTTCTTCTTGAAAGGGTATCACAAGTATACCTAACTTTCTTATGATGAATTTTGACTTTAGAAATCCATAATAAAACCCCTCCTTTCCCTCTGTAACTACGCCCCTTTGAGGCTAGGAAACTGCCACTTTTTGATCGTCGAAAGCCAAATGCCGGTAAAAATGCCCAACCAAATGCGGAACCAATAAGCTGACATAATTTTTTTTTGTGTTGTGAGTTCGCGGCGCTAAATAAAAAAAGAGTTTTGCTTGGGCCAAAATGGTAATTACATTCCAGAGACATCCGAGAAGATATGGTCATGGCTGGGCTTTCAAATGCGATCATTAACGCCTTAAAATGCTGATGACCATATACCATAGTTAAGAGAGTAGAAAGATGATCATTCAAGGACACCAGGGAGAGGAATTTGTAATTATTATTACTGTTATTGGAAAATATTATTCAAGCATTTTAAGATCAATGAATTTTCATTATTCACTCTTACCAAAAGTGTATTTTTAAATAAAAAATATCCCAAAATCTCCACAAAATCTTTAAAGATCATTCATCTCATAAATATTTTTAATTTTGCCAAAAGATCACGGGACAAGATGATCTAATCAGCACTCGTGTTAACCACCGGGCGTTGAAATGCCAAAAGTTCATCGATCACTGACACCGCAGATCACCTCAACGCATCTTTATTGAACCCCCAAAGACTGATCGATCGATCGATCGATCGACACGTTCTGAGTCAGACAGACAGACAAGCCTGAAAAATATGATTGTGTCAACCACTTGAAGTTTAGAGACTCGCAAATATTAATGAATTGCAAAGCTGAATGAGAACCAGAACGAGAACCCGCCGTGGCCAGGCCAGAGCAACAGGATCTGGCGAATCTGTGACATATGATCCGCATAACTTATGCATTGTTAGCATAATACTTTTCCGAAAAATCAAGCCAAACCTGTCAAAAAATAAACAAACTGAACGGAGCACATTCGTTTTCAATATCAATTTGCATTTCGTGTGTGTTTAATTTATGCGAAAGTTGTGTCTATTCGGGCAGAGCCCCGCTTTTAGGCTATTGTCGTGTAAATTTTGTCTGGAGAATCATGGAAAATGTTAGGAGGCTGTTAACTGAGTGTTGGCTGAATGTTAATATTAACACTTGGTTAGCTTTGGGGGATTGATTTTGAATTTTAAATAATTTTTTAAAGAATTTATATGGATTTTACCTAATATTTTCCAGAAATTGTTTGTACATTTTTAGTAATCTTTGTAGGTATGTATTATGTTAATAAACTATATATATTTTATATTTAACATTTTTCGTAGAGCTTAGGAATTTTATTATAAGGATTTTGCGGATAATTTTAAGCTTTCTAAATTAATTGCTGATCTTATCATTTAACCCAGCTTACTTTATGCTTAATAATTTCCAAAATCTTTTAAATCTGAAATATATCTTTAAGCTCACTTTTTCTTAATCTATTATTTTTAATCTAAACTCTACAAATTTCTCAAATTTCTAGGGTTAATAGCGGCTTGCTTTCAGGTTGCTTGCGATGACCTTGAACGTCATTGGCAATGCGTCAATCTGTGGCGACAGACCAGTATGCAAAAAAGTTGAAAAAAAGTATAAACAACTAAGGAGAAATACCAATCACTAGGCGGCAATTAAAACAATTATTTTGCACAGTTTTCCGGTGTGAAATGGGAAAAAAGAAAATTAGAACAAAAGAGAGTGTAAAATGCGGGGGAAGCTCTATCCATAAACAATGCATATTTTCTTTTCTTTGAAAAGGCAAATTCGCCATTTCCTTTGCTTATTTATGCTGAGATGCTGTGGCAGTGCACTGAGAAAAAGATACTAACATATATTGCTGTTCATTAAGATTGTATCTTTAAGTTTCTGAAGAAGATATTTGTCTGTGAAGAAGACTATTCTTTCTTAAATTATTAATATAATACTAAAACATTAATATTTATATCTTATTGCTTCGATCTATTTTAATTTCTATTTATTTATATTTTCTTTAAATTACCCCAACATTTTTCTTAGTGCATTCGCTGTCTGCGTCGCCGTTGCCGTTGCCGTCGCTGCTGATGCCTCTGCCAAGTCAAGCTCCGCGTGGCTCGGCGTTGGCCAAGTTTATTGAAAGCGCAGAATCCGTGAGATACGGACGTGTTTCTCCCAAGCGCAGCGCGCATCTTTCCACTTCGATTCTGCGATCTCCGATTCTCCGATCAGCGATTCTCCACTCGCTCTCCGCCAGTGATCGTGATATCGTGCCGCGCGTCTTTCGTAGTTCGATTGAGAAAAAAAGGCGAGAAAAAAAGGCGGTGAAAATATTACACATTATCTGGGATTTTGGGATTTGGCAAGAGAGGCTTCGATTGCGTCGCCTGTGAGATTTTGTCATCGTCGTCGTCGCCGCGATCATTGTTATTCCGCGCCTCCGCCTACGCCTTAATTATTGCGATTCCCCAACCCGTCGTAGTCGTAGTCGTCGTCGTCGGCAATGCCCAATTCTAACTTATTAATTGCGTGACAAATTCCGAAAGAAATCTATAAAAAAGCAGCAGAAAAAGCCGAAATCCCAGCAGCAATAATCATAAATAAATAAAGCCACGAAATGCAGATCCGAAAGCAGAAACGAAGCCATAGCTTCGTCGCAATGCTTTTGCTCATCAGCTTTGCCGCCGACTTCGCCGCTGGAAGGCCTGGTATAAAATAAAATACATTAAAAACGAAACAAAATTAAATCAAAAATCTATAAACTAATGCAGCATCTTCTGATAATTAAAACCATATAGCAATTGCGATTGCGATTGCGATATGCGATCTCTGTTGGCTTTCTTTGTCTCTACTCCTCTTCTGTCTGCGGTTTTGCGTTTTGCAAATCCGCGAACTAAATATTATTATGTGTGCTTATTGCGTGTTTATTTGTTTGCCGGAGGAAGCTAAAAGTTTACCTATGATCGAGTCATAAATTTATTAAATGATTTCCATTAATATGGGGTCTGTGGAACCCGTTTCAGAGGCGTGTTTTCTGTTCTATAAATATTCTATAAATAATCTATGGCAAATGTTAAACAGTTTTATGAATTATTTATTGCTTGAAAAAGGGTTTTCTTAATAGTTGACATCATTTAAAAAAGTTTATAAATAGTGCAACTATTTTGTTTGATAATTTATATTTTGATTTGGCCTGTTTCCACAAATTAAAGTTGTAAAAATAATATTTAATACTTGAAATTCATTTTAGATTTTAAAAATTGTAATTATTCAATATAATAATTCCTTCTTAAACATTTTATTATATTTTACTTGACTTAAAAGCTTCCTCCTTCCTTTATGTGTGACTAATTCTATGATTTCTCCACCCGAAAACCCTACTAAGTTGTACAGTTCTGAACCCGAGTCCCCTCCTCTCCCTTCTCTGTGTTAGAAATTCTACTTAATTCACTTCACTATAATATCAATAATATTAATATTCGATCACGAACTCACCTCTCTCTCTCTAATATCAATGCACTCGCTCACGAAAACTCTCCACTAGAAATCACCTCAGTCGCATTTGCATATGGAAAAGCCAAGCACCTCAAGTTCGTTCTCACTCCGCTGTGAACTTCGATCGTAATCGTGATCGTGACCCACATCGGCCGGGAGACAAGTGTTATTCCCACTCCACTTGTAATGACTAGCTACAGGGACAGGCTGACAAATTAGGGAAAAGTAATGGGAAATACACTGAAATAAAGGAATTAGAAAGAAGTATGGGGAGAAATGCATTAAAAATATATCTATAAATTTATATTTATCCAAGTTTACGATATTTTCGAGAAGTTATAGGATTTCTTCTTTCGCTGTAAATATCAAGAACTTCATAAATAACCTTTTTCATATGTAAACTTCTTGAAATTTGTGTAAATTTACCCCTTGAAGTTTAGGTATCCCTCTTGAAGTTTTTATGGAAATTATTTATATCATTTTAGGTTGCTTCATTATAAATTTATACAAAGAAATAACACCTTCGTAACTCTTCCCAAAGCACCTCTTCCGGCCCAAACCCTCGGGCGTTTGCCTGCAATTAGCCTTCGCCAATGGAGTGTCGCCTCAAGATGTATTTGTTTGACAAACAAAAAAAACTGAAACTGAAGAATCGCTCTCGAAGCGCACAGCAGATCATTAGGTTTTGGCCGAAAGCGAAATCAAGTAGCTGCTGCCAAAAAAAAAGAAACCAACTAAAAAACAAATAAACAAACAAATAAACAGCTCGAAGCTGCAAGAAAAACGAGATGTGAAGATGAAGAGGAGGTCTCCGTTCCGAGGAAAGCCCAGGCCGGAGGAGGGAGTAAGGTTACATAACCGGCGGATAACGTGACTGGCAAGGCTTCGGCAAAGTCGTTCCTCTTCGCGAGGAACAATGCCGAGTCCGGGGGACAAGGAGGAGGTGGTTAAACGACCTCTCCCGGGAAGGGGTGCTCCATGTAGTCCATAAATCTGGCGAGACTTCTTCTTTTTGTGTGTTTAACAAGTTGTTTACACTAACTAGTAGCGACTAAGTGGAAGCTGTTTTTTATAAGCCTTCATTTTTTTGGGTCATGGGGCCACAAAAAATTGTAGAATTTGTGAATGAAAAGGCAGAAAAATCAGCTCAAAGGCATCTCGAAAAAGTGACCCAAGTAATTGGCCAATAACAATTAAGACCAAGCTCATTTGGGCAGCCCAGCGATACCATAATAATATACATCTCCTGGCTTTAATGGATTTCTTCAACTCCGTGCTCAATGCTCCACTTTAGGGATTAGGCAATAAATGGAGATATATACCTTGTATCTATAACCAATATCGTAATGAAAGGGGACCCGTAACTGAACGTGATAATTAGCGAATTCGCACGGATCGTGCCTCACTTTCGCGGGGCTTGATTTATGATTTATGATTCAGCGCCAAAGATTAACGTAATTAAAACACAACAGGGGAGATATCAGCAACCAGTTGTATATATATTATGTGGAAGATGTGAAAGATATGCACTCAAAGCCAAAAAGCCGACAAAAAGAGGCCCCAATAAATGTAGAATCAAACCAATCCATTCTAAGCCATAAATATTTATGGGATGGGTTTCCCCCTTTGACATTTCCACCAAACAAAAATCATAATAAAATCATCTTTATTTTTTTTTTTTATGGACATTTCAAGTGCAATAAACACACGCGTTCAAGTCGTTGCCAAAAAAGATAATTTACAAGCTTTTGGCGGATTTTGACACATTTATGCTGTGTGTGGGCCAAGTCGATAACTCCAAGGCCCCAAGGCAATAGATATATCCAAAGATATAAACAAAGATTAATAAGTTTTTATAGAGAAAAAGGCATTACAATCGCCACGAAGGTTGGTAGTAAACAAACTGTAAAATTGGCAAGTGCAAAACGTTTCTCAAGTTAAACACAAAAAATTCCCATTGTCTGTGGGTGCAGAGATGTCGTGAAGCCGTCAATCAATTAAAAATTAAATTAAATAAACACAAACACAGTCGTCGTCTTCCATGGAGATGTCGAAGGAGATGGCGATGGCGATGGCGATGGAGATGGCGTTGGAGACAAGCAAAATTAATTGGCCTGAACTTGAGCCGAGGCGGAAGTCCGACGTCCGAGGGGGGAGTTTTCAATTATTACGGCATTATGTTATCCGAAATTACTTGAACAAGCCACTAGCCATGACTCTTATCGTCCAGCTATCTGCTGGGAGAGGCGAAAGTTCAGGGCTTCCTGGTTGGCCAAGCCCATCTCTCATCTCTGGGCATGCAAATGAAGCCCAGTTTGGATTATAGAATAGAGATACTACTGGCATGTGTGCTTAGCAGCCGGAACTGACTTGACCGATCCGAACCGGCAGAGCAACACACACGCCCCTCCCTGACTTAGTCACAGACGAGTTTCGCCTCTCGCCTTTCTCGCGGGGGAATTCTGATGATTAAAATATTTCCCATTCAGTTTGGGTTATATTATTCGAATTATTCAGTTATTCCGCTGTAAACAGGAATCGAATCAGAGAGAGATTAGCAAATCAGAAGCCGAGAAGCCCACATCTCCGTACGAGTTTATTATTATTATTAATTATTCGCCTTCGGCACGAGAATCATTGTTTTGTCAGTGCAATCATTAGCCATTAATTCGCTGGTTGCCACAGCTGGACAGATTCTCTAGATTCCCCAGATTTCCCCAGATTACCCACAGAACAATAAGTGTCTCTGCTGATAGAAATTCAGCCACTAATTGCCAAGTGCGTTTCGCGACTGTAAGGCTAACAAGTTGCATAAATATTCATAAGAGAGCCAAATTAGGGACTTCATTTTGGTGAAATTTGGTTATCAATTAATATTAATATTTATATTATACTTTGTTTTATTTGTTTATTTAAATAAACAAATTAGGAGGTTAACTTGTCAGTGACATTTATTTTTTTATTTATTTTTATTATTTTACCAGCTGAAGTTGAGCAATCAATTATAAGTTTTATTTTTCATTAATAAGCAAATAGACATCACTGAGGTTTTCTAGGCATTTAAAACTTATTTATTAAACATTTAAGTAAATAAATAAGAGGCTTATGAGCATACGAACATATATTCAGAGTCCCAGATACTTTTTAACAGAAGAAAACGGGGAAAACAAATATTTAAAAATATTTTACGCGCGTTTTTATTTATTTAAAAATATATTTATAGGGAAATTTAAATTTAAAATGGGTTTATAAATATTTTAAAACTCAAAAGAATGCCTTACAGTTCTAAAAAAAACATATTTTTACTGTCAATTTTAGGTTTGTTTATCAAATTATAGTTCGCATAATTAATAATATTTAAATGACTTTTTCCCACAACGATTAAGTCAATTATCGCTTTCATAATGACCATAAATGTCATGTCATGTGCTGGTAGCCCTATGAAACGCACTGTATGCCCTACGGGCCATTTTTGGCAAACTAAAACGAAAGACTTAGGCAACGAACTTGATGGTTGCACACCTGTCACACCCACACACACACACAAACCAGACCTAACCCGGCTGGGTAACTTTTAAAATTGAATTTTAGCTGGGTGGCGGTGGGCAAAGGGAGGGGTAACTAACAGTAAGCACCGCACCACACCGCACCACACCACATACACACACACAACCACGAAGACATGCAGCAAATGTATGGCCCATCTCAGTCAATGTCAATCAATCAGCCGCCACTGCGGCAGGCAAATTGCCCAAGAGCCAAGCCGCCCACAGCTGCCTCATCTGTCACCCCACCAGCAGCCACCAGCAGCCACCAGCGGCACCAACCTATCGGTGGGAATCTCCTCCACACTTTAGCCCACCCATAAAAAACATACACCCAACAAAGGAATTTCACTATAGTTTATAAACTAAGCAAGTTTGAATTATTTTTAGCTTGGGAAATAGAACGAGTTTTAATTATAATTTAGTAAGAAATTTGTTATACGATATATTGTATATTTCACACTTTTATACACTTTTGAATACAATTTTTATCCCATTCAGGGTACTATAATTTTAGTCAGAAGCTTCCTTTACAGTGAAGGAGTCATTTCCGACCCTATAAACCATATATATTCTCGATCAGCATCAACAGGCGAGTCTTTCTAGCCATGAATAGGAGAACATTTTTTTTTTTCAAATTTTTCAAAATTCTATAAGGGGTTACATCATCAAATTTGGCAAAAATCGCTAAAAATTTGAATCTTTTAAAAATTTAAAGTAAGTAAGCAGATTTGTTAACCTATAAAAATCTAGCATAGAAAAGCTTTCCGAATTGAAATTAATGCATTTTTGACTTAGTTATGAAAGATTTTCAATTAGATTCCATGATCTATTTGCAAACTGCAAGGGTAAACGAAAGTCGACATACCGAAGATGGTTTCTTTTCTTTTTAAGATTTTACATTTGTATTAAAAGTGTAATATTGTTGTTTCGATCGCTCTTGGCAAATCCCTAAAAATAATTTCAAGCTTCTTGTGAAACTTCTAATTTATAAAATTTAATACTGTGTGACAATGGTTTTCTTTTAAAGCAGTGTCATAGCTCTACATTTTTCCATTCGCTCGCCCTGTTCCTCATCCCCATTTTAAGCCTCATTCCTCGCTGTCTCATCCACATGCCACTTGCTTTCTCAAATGCTAAAAAAAAGCTGAAGCAGCAGCCACAACGAGACACCAACAACATTCTGCTATCCTCCAACAGATGTGCGTCAGTCGCCCTTCGCCCTCGAGCTGCAGCCGCCGCTGCTGCAGCCGGCGGAGGAGTCCTTCAACCCATCGACATCATCCGGGGGCCAGAAGACCCTCGATAGCTATGGCAACCCCATCGACGCCCTGCGTCCCATCGATACGCCCGACGGGCGCAAAGTGGTGAGCGCCCAGGGCGTGCAGTTCGAGATTCCCACCTACGCCTCGGGGATCACAGAGATCCGGCGGCCGGCCGATGATCTGCTGCCGCCGCACATTGGTGAGTTGTTGACAAGAGCGGCTGGCGCCACAACGCAAACGGAAACGGAAACGGAAACGGATTCAGGACCGGAAAACCAGACAGAAATAGCAAACGCAACCGAAACCAAAACCAAAACAGACACAAAAGCACACACAAACCGTAGCGAAAGTAGCCGTAGTCCAAGTAGTCCAAGTAGTCCCTTTAGCCACCGCACCCGCACCGCACCAGCCGCACCCATTGGCACCACTAACAAGCTGGCCAAGCGCGATTCCGCCTCGCCGGACGCCGGCCAGTTTCCCATTGCACCACCCACTAACCGCCACGCCCCTCCCGCCTTTTCCCTGATCCGGCTGAATCCTTCCTTTGTAGGAGGCCCAGACTCGCCCATCACCCAAATTGGCCAGACCCCGTCCCCGTCGCAGTCCCCCTCCCGGTCCAGTCCCTGCTCGACTCCCTCTTCCTCCTCGTCCTCCCTCGTAGCCCCGGCAAATTGCTCGAAATTCAACTCAACTCCGAATCCGCATCCTCTCCAACCAGATGTCATCGCTGTGGGCCTGGAACCCAGCAGCAGCAGCAGCTCTGAACCGAAACCGAACTCATTCCTTGGCACAGCATCAGCATCCCCAGCACCAGCACCAATTCCAGCCACATCACTAACACCGCCCCACCATGATCCATCACCACCCGACGCGACGACGACGACGACGGCAGCCGTCGTGGAAGTGGAGCAGGCGCACCTAGTGCCGCTTCCACAGCAGCAGGAGGATCCCGAGTTGCCCGATTACCTGAGAGAGCTGCAACGCCAGGATCCAAACATTGGCGGTCCTGTGGCCTGGCAACCGACCGAAGATGGAGCCCCGCTGAGTGTTATAGCCTGGGATCTGTTGCCGCCGCACCAAGATCAGGATAAGAAGGATCCGAAGCAGGAACAGGAGCCGGTCATCATCACGCAGGAGCACCCTCAGCCGGCCAAGAGGGTCCAAGGCATTGTGGATCCTGTCAGCCACAACATACGAGTTAGCCTGACCAGCGGCAGTGTAAGCTCGGCGGATCCAAGGCCACAGGATCAGGAACAGCATCAGACTCAGACCCACAGCCACACCCAATCCCAGGCAGATGGACCGGCTGCTCATGGCACCAATGCCCATGTGGGCAGCACCACAACGCCCAGCAATGCCAGCGGTCGCTTCCCTAACCGGCAACGAGGCACGGCCCACTACAGCACCACCAGGAGCAGCAGTACCACTCTGAGGCCACGCACTACGACGACGACAACCCAAGCCCCCACTACTACTACCAGGACAACTCCCAGGACCACTACAGCCAGGACAACCACCACAACCCAAGCCCCAACAACGAGTACAGCGAGGACCACGAAGATTCCTACTACAACCGAGGATCCGGCCAACTTTTACCGCCTGGACAATGCCGATGAGTATGCTTACACGCTGCCCACGTGGCTGCAGGAGGTTACCGATCCGGATCTGGACGTGGCCGTCACCTTTGTGGTGCCCACCGACAACGATCAGTACAATCATACGCTGGCCAGCGACCTGGAGCCGCCGTACGAGCCCTTCGTCGATCTGGGCAACATTCAGCTGACGCCGCCGCCCACGGGAAGTGGAGGCACTGCATCTCTTCCGACAAGCACAAGCACCACTCCCAGAAGCACAACCACAAACACACCGCGGACTACGACAACTCCCAGGACAACAACAACAAGCACAACAACAACAACGACGACGACTACAACAACAACGCGACGTCCGAGCACCAAGCGAACCACCTCTGCACCCATTCCCACCAAGCACACCACCCCAGCACAGCGCCCAGAAACCCCAACGGCCAAACAGATTCAAAATCAAAACCAAATCCAATCAGCAGATGCAACGCCGACAGCAGAGGGCAGGAGCAGCACCACGCCCAGTGCCCTGGACGTCGTCAACCCCTTCGACTCGGCCACGATTCCCCCATGGCTGCGGGACTTTGACTATCCCGATGTCGGTCCCGGCGTGCCCTTCGATCCGAACAACTTTGGACCGGCAGCCGCCAGCAGCTCCCCCACAAACCCGCCACGTCCCTTTACCGACCTCCCGACCGCCTCCTCTGCTTTTCCATCCAAAGTCACGCTTCCGCTTCCAGGCAGCGGCACCACTAGCTTCCCTAGTGCCGGCAGCAGCAGCAGTAGCAGCGAGGAGCCGCCTTTAGTGCTCATTCCGCCTGCTGATCACCCGGACTCTGGCTTGGACACTGGCTCTGGCTCCGGCTCCGGCTCCGGTTCCGTTCCCCTGACCCATCCCAGTACCAACTCTATCACGCCTCTTGCAGCCCGCTTTGATCCCCAGGAGCCCAGCAATAGCATTAGCAACCCCGCGTCCCCCCTACCGCCCCTCAAGGTGGAGTACACGAAGAGCGACGAGGGCAAGGTCATCAGCACGCCGGTGGCCTCCATTCAGCGGAAGGGTGAGTCTTTTAAATACTTATTTAATTTATTAATTATTTTTATCTATTGTATTTTTAATTCCCTTTCATTTCCAGCAGAGACTCCAGCCCCTTCGACCAGCAGCAGCGGCCCCACCAACACTGGCAAGTACACTGGCGGATTTGGCGCCCCGGCAGGCCTTCTACGTCCACAAACCACAGGAGCTACCAATCCTGGCTCCAACTCCGACATCTATGTGGCCGGTAAAGAGAACGAGTTCATCAGCAAAGGCAACAAGGCGCGGCCAACGGTGAATCCGGGACGCTACAACGGCGGCTTTGGAGCACCCACTGGCATTCTGTCGCCCCAGTCAGAGCCGCGTCCCTTCCAGGCACCTGCACACCAACCACAGGCGCAGGCATCGTCATCGTCGGGAGTCGCCGCAGGCTTCGGTGGCCAGCGGCGAACGGAGGGCAGCCGCTTTGGTGGCCCACCCGGCATCCTTGTGCCCTTCGATAATGCCCAGCGATCAGGGGGTCAGTAAAGGTCGCTAAAGGAGGAGAAAGAGCGTCGCGAATATTTTAAATTATTTATAGCCCATGTACATGTACCTATGCTAGAGATCGGCAAGTCTGTGTAGGCGACCTTGCTTGCGAAATAAAATGTCTCAGAACTAGCGAATCCTGGTTTATTTCGGGATCTAGGGGAGGGGGATTTTGGCCAAAAGCTATGCATAAATTTAATCATTTCTCTAAACGTAGTTCCCTTAGGAACTCGGCTCAAAATGTAGAATATCTTATGTTGTTCAATATATCATCAACACTTTATAATATCAAACTAAACAATGTGCGAGTGTAGCTGCAAATATGAGCCGGAGGTTTGTGTCAAGTTCTATATTTTATGGTGCTTGGCCTTTGGAGGTGGCTTTACGATCTGCGGCTTCACAAGAGGAGTCAATGGTTTCTTAAAAGCTTCGGACTCCTCGATGCATCTGGTCGATGGAGTTTGTAATATTATAACAGGCATCGCTGCGTTGACATATTTTATCGCTGGAATTTTGTTTCTAATAGGTTATAAGAAGGCAAGTTATTCTAAATATATTAACTATTTTTATATTTAATAATATATTCGTAATACAGGGAAACAAGAACTATTTTAGGGCGGGCAAAATCCTGAGTTATATTTTCCCCATATTGTCTTTTTTCTTAATTTTTACACTAGGTAAGAAAATTACTTAGATTACTTCAAATGTTATAACTATTACTACACCTGCCCGCAGTTGTTCATATCTGTGTAATCTTGAAAGTATCTGAATTTGTCAAGGAAGTTTGGGGATAATTCTAAGGATTCTTTTTTCGACATAATCGTAGTTTAAATTTTAAATTTTTAAAAGGAATGACTTGGTTCTGTGGCCTTGTTTTATATTTAAAATTATATAATCAATATTAGAGCTTAAAAATTGAAGTCATGCCCTGAAAATGAAGAGCCTAGATCGTTTTTTTATGGTCCTTATATTTGTATAGCCCTTCTACTTTAAATAAGCAAATTAATATTATTAAGTGGCTCTTAAATATTATGTGGAATAAATCAGAACTGAAGCCTGACAATAAGAAAACCTCGATTTGTACCTGTTTACTTGGAATATAAGGTAAGATAAGACCCTATAATAACAAGAAAGGAAGCTAACTTCGGTACGCCGAAGTTTGTATACCCTTGCAGATTGGTTCGATGTTTATATTATAGATTTAAATGCTGAAAACACTCACAAAACAGAGTTTCATTACATTTTACCTATACTTATTACTTATTTACAGTTTGACAGTTTCAGTTTTACATTCCCAGCTTTACATATTTTATATATTAACCGATCGCTTCTATGGCAGCTATATGATATAGTTGTCCGATTTTTATAAAATTTATACCAAAATTCTAGAATAATAAAAAAAGCTTATATCTGAGAGTAGATAAACATACGTTGAAAAACAACGAAGCTATAATTTGTATACCCTGGCAGGGTATTTTATTTCCAGTCCGAAGCTCATTACGCATTGAAGGAGTCATTTCCGACCCCATAAACCATATATATTCTTGATCAGCATTAGCAGGCGCATCTTTCTGGCTAAGTCTGGAGGAAAAAAATTTTTAATCAATTTTTTAAAAATTTTATAAGGGGTTACATCATTAAAATTCTCAAAATTTGATAAAATTTTGAATTTCTAACTAAGTATGCAGATTTCTTAACCTTATAAAAACTAACATAACGCCGCTTTCCGAATGCAAATTAAGGCATTTTTGACAGAGTTATGCCTACTTTAGTTTTTAATTTGCTATTTTTCTCTGTTCAATTTCCATCGTCATTGCCATCGCCATCGCTCCTAGTCATCAGTATCAGTAGACCTGACACCCACCCTGGACAAGAACCAAGGGAAAGGACCAACGACACACGCAAAAGGATGGTGGATAAGGGATGGGAATGGAGGAATAGGGATCAGGAATCAGGGATAGGGAGAGAGCACCGCCAGAAGCAAAAAGTCAAAGTATCATGGCAAAGTATCATCGTCGTTAAATTCAAATTCAAATTTGGTAGTTAAATTCAAATTCAAATGTAGAATTTTTTACATTTTTTAAAATATTTTAACTGCCAAATTTGAATTTGAATTTAACTGCCAAATTTGAATTTGAATTTAACTGCCAAATTCGAATTTGAATTTAACGACGAACAGTTTCAGTGTGACCAGGTGCAGTTGTAAAATAACACCTAAATTTGGATTCAAAAGGTTTGAGTCTCCGCTTACTTGCGCCGGTTCCTCAGTTTCAGTGTGACCAGGTGCATTTAAGCAACATTTTAGCCAAAAAAATTACAATATGGTCACATCTGGTTTGAGTCTTCGCTTACTCCAAGATCAATGGTTCGAAACTTGGACTTTTTATAACAGTTTATACCAGTTTTCAGTTGCTTGCTGCTGATTTCTGTTCGCCTGTTACCCCAATTTGGGAAACGGGCAATTTGCATGGAAATGTTCGGAAATTTGGATTGGCTGCTGTAGGGATGTTGTTGTAAAAAGGTTGTTGTTGCCATAAGCTGTTGTTGTCGGCAACAAATAGGTATAAATGCATAAAATGAAATATAACAGTTTATACCAATTATTATTTTTGCCCAAATGTTTTTATAACAGTTTATACCAGTTTTCAGTTGCTTGCTGCTGGTTTCTCTTCGCCTGTTACCCCAGTTTGGAAAGCGGCCAATTTGAATGAATAGTTTTGCTCACTTGCATCAGTGATGCTCATCTGCATCAGTGATGCTCATCTGCATCAGTGATGCTCTATTGGGACAAAATGCATCTCTAACTGCCAGTGATGCTCATCTAGCTATTTTGCATTATTGGGACAAAATGGAATCTCACTAACTGCCAGTGATGCTCATCTAGCTATTTTGCATTATTGGGACAAAATGGCATCTCACTAACTGCCAGTGATGCTCATCTAGCTATTTTGCATTATTGGGACAAAATGGAATCTCACTAACTGCCAGTGATGCTCATCTAGCTATTTTGCATTATTGGGACAAAATGGCATCTCACTAACTGCCAGTGATGCTCATCTAGCTATTTTGCATTATTGGGACAAAATGGCATCTCACTAACTGCCAGTGATGCTTATCTAGCTATTTTGCATTATTGGGACAAAATGGCATCTCACTAACTGCCAGTGATGCTCATCTAGCTATTTTGCATTATTGGGACAAAATGGTATCTCACTAACTGCCAGTGATGCTCATCTAGCTATTTTGCATTATTGGGACAAAATGGCATCTCACTAACTGCCAGTGATGCTCATCTAGCTATTTTGCATTATTGGGACAAAATGGCATCTCACTAACTGCCAGTGATGCTCATCTAGCTATTTTGCATTATTGGGACAAAATGGCATCTCACTAACTGCCAGTGATGCTCATCTAGCTATTTTGCATTATTGGGACAAAATGGTATCTCACTAACTGCCAGTGATGCTCATCTAGCTATTTTGCAATATTGGGACAAAATGGCATCTCACTAACTGCCAGTGATGCTCATCTAGCTATTTTGTATTATTGGGACAAAATGGAATCTCACTAACTGCCAGTGATGCTCATCTAGCTATTTTGCATTATTGGGACAAAATGGCATCTCACTAACTGCCAGTGATGCTCATCTAGCTATTTTGCACTATTGGGACAAAATGGCATCTCACTAACTGCCAGTGATGCTCATCTAGCTATTTTGCATTATTGGGACAAAATGGCATCTCACTAACTGCCAGTGATCTAGCAATTTTGCAATATTTGATATTTTTTCCATTGTCCACCGCAAGAATGCCCTTCTATTGAGCCTGTTTAAATTATCCCACCCAAAAAAAACCGCATCCATCCAGCTTTAAATAAATAAAAGAAGAAAAGGTGAGGTATGTGGAAATGTCGGAGGTCGTTTTCAGTGGTTTCGGCTCGGTCTTGGTGGCACCCTCGTCGTGCTGCCCCAGCACCTGGTCCGCTTCTGCTCCTCCTCGTCCTGATCCTCCTTGCCAACGCTCTCTGTCTCGCCATCGGCATCGGCTTTGAGGAATATACATTATACATTACAAGAGGAATATCAAAAATGATCTCTGGCTTTTCAAAACAATTTCTAGAAGTCCCCTCTATAGTTCAATAAAATCTTCCGGCGTTACTCATCTTGCAGTCCTTACCGTCTTGGGTAATACTATAGTAATACCCTTGCCTAGTGGCCCCATTTTGGAGTAGTGGAGGCAACAGGTGTGACGGTGCCTGGCATGCAAGAGCTCCTGGAAAACCGGTATACAAAATCGAGGTGATTACAATCCAGAGGTCGTGTCTGTCCAATTGGAGTTGTCGTAAACGCGAGTCGACATTAGGTATAGGGTCTGTCTGGCGCTCCTCCTACTCCTACTCCTCCTCCTCCGAGGGAAGCAACTTGAGCAAATGCAAATATCATAATTTCCGACAGCCCATCTGCCCGCAAATGGCGGCCCCGCCTCCAGTTGCGCCCCCCAGTTTGCGGAGACCAGGCCACCGCCGGTTACGAGGGCAGGATAAATAAAATTGTTTCGTCACGCCACCGCGAAGGTTGCCAGCCGCTGTCGAAATGAGGCTGGCGCACGCAAGACCCAAGAACCCAGACCGAAGAGCCAAGAACGAACCGGAGACAACAACAGTCACGTGCTCCAGCCTTTACGACCTGCTCGAAACATCAAGCTTATTTATTTACTCTAAAAACAATACGCCAAAATTAATAGCAATTTGTTGGGCTTCCATAAATTTGTCGAAATAAATGTCCTTAACTGGTCTGTGTCTCTTTCTCTGTCTCTGTCCTCCGTTAGCAAATGGCTTTCACCTGGCCCAAATCGATTGTCTTATCAGTGTTCTGGGTCTCTGGGTGCGTGACTTGCTCCGAGGAGCAAAGACCGAGTTTGGGTTTAATTTTGATGGCTTCAATTAACTGCGTGTAAATGCGGTGGCCCCTTCGCTCCTCGCTCTCTGGGCCAATCCCTCGAATTCAGTTCTTCTGCACACGAAAAAAATAATAAGAGAAGGACTATCTTAATAATACTTAATTGGTTTCTATCTGAGGTTATAATTAAATTATAAATTACCATAATGGAAAAGGTTATGTAAATGTACTTTATTATTTTACCTTCCTAATAAAATTTTAGTTTAATAAAATAAATAAAAATAATAATAAATAATTAGAATATTAAGTACTATAAACAACGAATAAGGGTGTTAGTGCCTTGTAATATTATTAAATAATTTAAGAAGTTAAAACAGCCTCTATAATCAATCATTAATGTTACAGCTATGATAGCCTAGAATTGTGAAGGCAAATTTAATAGAAACTGATGTATAATGTTGTATGTATTTCAATAAACTATATACATAATATATATATATTTATAAACTTCCCAATTTGTACCTAAACTCCGTAACATTCTTTTCTAAAACCCAATCAGATCTTACAGTGGAATAGAATAAAAATATTATTAGGTAAGGTTAATTTTGCCCGACAGCTTTATTGGTGTTTTTCTTCTCTGTAGGACCCCCAGAAGGGTTTCGTTGAGATATTAATGCAACTTTATTGAAGTTTATTGCCGCTTGTCAGCGCATGCAGCAGGCGGTCGTACAAAGTAAAGAAAGGCCCAAATCAGGAGCAGGAGCAGGAGCTAGCTGGCCCAAGTCATCGGGCGAAATGCAAAGCGAAGCCAGGCAAGTCAGTTGGCCAACGGCAGGCACCGCGCACAGACGTCCATTCCTCGCGGCGGAGTGACACAGTCAACGGATCCTAATGTGAACCCAGGAAGCCCTGGATACCAACAGATCTCCCACTGCCACACCTCCAGCTGTAGCAGCATGCCGCGCAAGAAGCCCAAGGTGGACACCCTCGAGGAGATCGAGACTGGTGTAAAGCTGCTCTGTGATCAGTCCAACAACCACATGAAGGTCCGGGAATACGACAAGGCGCTGTTTGGCTACAATCAGGTGGGTGCCCCCTAAAGAGTAAAAGTAATAAGATTAATTTTTGAATTGAATTGAATTGAATAAATATACAATTAAATAAATGAGAATGTTTCCACCAAATGTGTTAGCTCCAGCTCCTAAAGCTTATGAGGATACAGTTTACTTGTAGAAAGTTAATTAAAATACACCGCATTAAGCCATCGCAAATTTTTAACACTATATTTATTAAATTAAGTAATAATAATATATTTAAATAAACACTAAGGAAAGTTAACTTTTGGGAAACCGAAGACCGGAAATATGTGCCTTCTTTAAATGGATATTTAACCATAGTTGTATAAGAAATTTGTTGGACAAATCAAAGTTTAAAAATATCATAACTAAGCCAAAAAAGCAGTAAATTCAATTCGGAAAGCTTTTCTATGCTAGATGTTTATAGATTAACAAATCTGCATACTTACTTTAATTTTTTAAGAGATTCAAATTTTGAGCGATTTTTGCCAATTTTGATGATGTAACCCCTTATAGAATTTTGAAAATTTTGAAAAAAATTATTTTCTCCCAGACATGGCTAGAAAGACTCGCCTGTTGATGCTGATCAAGAATATAACTCCTTCATTGCGTTACAAGCATCTGATTGAAATTATAATACCCTGAAAAGGTACCAAGAATTAGTGTAATAACCCATAATAAGCCTTGTTTTGTTGAAAATATGTAAGCTTACGGACCATAAAATGAATCCTTTTGGAGCTGTTAGCTTTCACAGGCTTCTAAAAAGCTCCTATAACTCACTAAAAGCTCATAATAGCATTAAAGGTTTGAATCCTATAGTTACTGCTGTATAGTCACGGTCATAATAATAACAACCCAAGTCGTTGTAAAAAACCATTACTATTAAGGTTAATAAAAATTTAAATATATTTTTGAATATATATTTGATTACTGTTAAAATAAATAATAATTCAATAAAAATAAATGAAATAATTAGCTACTATTAAGGAAAAGAAAAGGATAATATCATAGAATAAGCCTGGAAGCCCTGCTCCCCAGATCCGTCATCACCGGAGATCCCTCAAAGCTTCTCGTTCGAGTGGAGCTACCTCAAGGTCATGACCCAGATGAAGGACAGGAAATCCGTGGCATTCACACCAAGCCAGCTGACACCTGATACACTTGGCACCTGGCACCCCATGACTTGGTTGTTTGGCGGCTATCGATTGCTCAGCCATTTGGAAGGCGGCGCCAGTTTCCTGGCAACAGAAATAACTAGCCAATCAATCGGTCAGTGCTGTTGGATTTTCACACTTTCCTGAGACAAACCCAACAATAGAAAAGCCCGGAAAACATGTCGAACGTACTGAACACCATCCTCGCCGTGGACAAGGAGCAGGAGCTGCTGCAGAGCTTCATCCGCACGGGAGCAGCCGCCGAGGAGGAGTCCCTGGACGAGGCCAATCGACGTTCCAAGGGTCGCTCCCACAAGACACCCATCTGGGAGCGGCGTGACTCTACGGAGCGTGGAGGACGAGGCGCTGGCAAGCAGGGCGATGATTCCGGGGCTGGTGGTGGAGCTGGCGGAGAGGGCGGCGGCGGCGGCAAGCGGGGCAATCGGATTGAGGCCGAGCTGAGGGCCGCTCGCAAGCGGATTGAGGAGCAGATTGCCAAGAAGAAGAAGCCCAAGGAGAACTTTGTGGACTTTTACACGGACAAGGATCGAGCGGCGGCCGTGAGCGCTGGAGCCTTCGACATCAAGCAGAGTCTGCAGATCAAGCAAAAGCAGGACAGGAATGAGGCGTTGCTGATTCCCGACGAGGCGGACATTAGCTCGGTGATTGCGCTGGGACTGAAGGAGATCAAGAACGCCAATCCCGAGAATGCCATACATTTTTTCTGCAAGGTGCGGGGTCCTCTTAAGCTGGAGATTCCAGGAAAAAGTTTCCCCTTTGCTTGACTCATTATCCCTGAAAGATAAAAATTATACCCCTCAAACACTCACCTGCCCTTTTCCCTCCTCTTTCCAGGCTCTGGAGCTAAATGGCACCGACATCAACGCCTTGATCTCGCGCAGCAAGTGCTACCTGCTGCTAGGCGAGGCCTCCAAGGCTCTGCAGGATGCGGAGACGGCTCTGGGCGAGGAGAAGAACAACATAAGAGCCATATACCAGAAGGCCGAATCCCTCTACTACCTGGGTCAGTTTGAGCAGAGCCTTATGTTCTTCCATCGCGGTCTGCGGGCACGCCCCGAACTGGCCTCCTTCCGCCTGGGCGTCCAAAAAACCCAGGAAGCCATCGAAAACACCATTGGGACCAAGCCAGGTCCAGCGCCAGGCGCACCCGCTGCTGGCTCGTCGGCACCGAAGAGCGGCAAGTCGCGCGCCAAGTCTGGAGAGGAAACCACGCCCAGGGTGCGACAAAAGCCCAGCCGGGCTGACCTAGAGCGACGCAATGCCCGCAAGCTTCTGGGCGAACTGTGCGTGGACAAGGAGTATCTGGAGAAGCTGCTGCTGCATCCAGATCTGGTGCGGGCCGACACGCACACCGAGAGCATCTCGACCTATGCCCGCGAGGCGGTGGAGTTTCTCAACAAGAGGCAGGAGTTCTGGCGTCAGCAGCGTCCGTGCACGGCGCTGCCGAACCATAAGAACCTGCCCCATGATGCCATGCCCAAGTGGTTCTAAGGAGGCGCTACCTTGAGCTCAAAAGATCTCCTAGAAGATGCGTTTCCTACAGTTATTCCAAGCTTTGCATTTAAGTTTCTGTTTTGAATTGCCAAGCAAAAACCTAAAATAAATAATAAATGAAAAGTAAAATAGATTTCCTGTGATAATTAATCAAGTAATTCCTTTTTTTCGAGTACCATGTGGCTGGAGTGGCGCATCTACGGCGTTCCAACTAATTTATTATTATATATTCTGTATTGCTAATTGTGTTTTGTCGTGGATTAATTCCATCTTAGGTATAATTTCAACGTTTAAACAATTTCAAGCAAATTTCATTGATGTTTCAACTCAAAGAAGGATGGAGGAGCCTCAAACTCTTGAACGATTAACAGTGTGTGTGTGTGTGGAATAAATAGGTAATATCTATGCAATATTAGTTCAATAACAATGGATATATATGCTGTATTGGGGGAATCTGCCGCTGTTTCACGAGTGCCAGAATTCCCAGTTGTTTTTCTCATTTTTTTTTTTGCCACTCTAACAATGCATTTATTTCATAAATTGACTAGTACGGCTATAATTCATTTAAACATTATACATTTATGCAGATTAGTTTAATACTTTTGTCGCTCATATAGTTCATAATTCATTATTTGTTTTTGTTCTTCCTCGGCAAGTCTGGGAGTGGGAGTTGGTAACGTCGCTTGGCCTAAACAAGTACAAAAAGTGCGCAAAAAAGGGGGATCACTTCATCTAGGCAACTGATTCTTTAAATTAGTTAAAGTAGTTAACGTTTAGTTGGTGGCTTTGAAACAATCAAACAGGTAATACACTAGGTAACGTAGATTCCATGCAGAGTGCGGATATTGCCGGGGGTTCCAGGCCCAATATATTCGAGTATATTTAACATTTAAATACAGCGATTCGGAATGCAATCGGAGTGCAAGACAGCGCGAGCTGGAAGGGTAAAGAAGTCTCATTAGTATCACTCGAAGGACTCTCCATTAGGGATGCATACATCCCTTGTCCACACTCACCCCCTGTGCGTGCTCAGTTGTTGGCGGGTCGCGTGGGCAGCGGCGGTGCATTGCCGCTTCTATTTGGTATCGGTGGCGGACCCCGCCGATTGGGCAGCGGCGGCGGCGGCCCCATTGGCGGCGGTCCTGCTGGCGGCGGATGCCTTGGTGCCGGCACATCCTCCTGGATCTCCTCGTATATATTGCTGGCGGTCTCATAAGCGGTGTCAATCGCTGCCGGTGGCATCTGCTCCTTGGGCGACGGTGCTTGCCGCGTGGGCGTGGATACGGGCGTGGCCTGCTTGCTCTGCATTTGACGTGGCGGTGTCGGCGGACCGGAGAGAATGCCCGTTGCCGGTGCTGCTGGAGCCGTGGGAGAGGCTTTGCCCGAAGAGGAGGTCGAGGAACTGGCAGAGGCCAATTCCGTCGGCGATTGCGACTTGGAGGAGGGCGTATTGTTTTCCATGGCCGGCGGACGTGGCGGTGCCTGCTGCGCCTGCAGTGGTGCCGGCATCAGGGGCTGAGTCAACGGCTGGGCTGGCATCGGCGGCATCGGTGGCTTGGCCGGCTTGGGCACAATGCTAATCACCCCGGCATGGGGCAGGTGACGTGGCGAGTTCTTTGGCGACATGGGCATGGGCGGCCGGGCCGGAGGACGCGTGGGCGGTTGCTTTGGCCGCTGCGGCAACTCGGGCGTGAGGGCTTGGAGGAGCTGCGCCTGCTCCGAGGGATTGGCGCACAGCGGAATGGTGTTGGTGGTGCACAGCTCGATCTCGCTGTCCACCAGATGCTGCCAGTCGCTGGACTTGAGCTCCAGCACCAGCTCCAGGCCGCACACCTGTGTGCTCCGCTTGGCGGCTGCGTTCAGTGCCGACTCTCCATCTCGGAAGGTCACCCACATGGTGTCCTCCACGTACCGGACCAGGGTGACCTCGCCCATCTTGGACAGCTCGGCAATCAGGGCAGACATCACGTTCTCGTCGTAGATGGTGGGTCCGTCCTCCTCGCCCTGCCCAGACCCAGAGTCCAGCACATGGACCACTATAGTAGAGTCCGGTGGCCCCAGATCCCGGATCACCTGCTCAAAGACCGCCCGCCGGCGCTGCTGATCGATCTCCATGATCTCCGCATCAATAATGGCTATCACCGGGCGATGATCGCTCTGCTTCAGCTCCGACCGGCCATAGTGGATAAGCTGGCCGGGATTCCATGCTGAGGGGGCGAAATCTCCTTCTGCGAGGGCTTTCCGCCGGCGCCAGAGTACCCGATCCGTCCAAGCCGGAGCACGCTGCTTCTCCGAGGTGTCGTAGTCGTCACTGAATAGATCGTACTTGTACGTGGGATCGAAGCCGATCTCCCCCTCAAGGAACTCTCCAAAGACATTGCCCGCTTCCTGCTCCTTGCGCAGCTGATCGAACTCGAGGACGGTGGGGAGATCGCCTGTGCGGACGCACTCCTTCAGCTCGTCCTTGTCCATGTCGATGCGGTAGTTGAAGTCGCCGCACCAGAAGACCCAGTCATGCGACTTGAGGGTCCTGCCCATGGGGAAGGCCAGCTTCCGGGTGATCTCCGCATAGTCGGCGTTCCGCTCCGCCACCTGCGATTGTCCGGCCGCAAAGTGGGCGCACACGAAGCACATGGAGGTGCCGTGGAGGACGAAGCGAATGGCACAGGCACCCTTGTTGCCGGTGGCACCGCCCAGGCCTGTCTTCACACAATCAATGGCCACGTCCCGGATGTGCGGCGCATGCTCCGGCCGGATGTAGATGTACAGGCACACGCCCACCAGCTGCTGGTAGGTGAGCAGCACGTAGTCATTGTCCCGCGAGATCGTCTTCTGCAGCTCCTCGGCCCACAGCTTGGAGTTCTCCGTGCTGGCCGCCATGATATTGGAGGCATTGAGGTCCACAATCTCCTCGAAACCAATGGCATAGATGTCCACCGGGTGATCGGCGTGCTCCGACGGATTGTTCACATCCACGAGGGCCTTGGATCTGGCCAGGGCGTGGCAGTCGAGGAGCCAGTCGGCCAGCGAGTCCTTGAAGACGATGCTGCGGAAATGCTTGCCGCCGTTCACATTGTAAGTACCCACGGCCACGCGAGCCAGCCTGGGGCGCACGTACTCGGTGTAGCGCTTGCACAGCTCCCTGAGAACGGTGGTGGGGGCGTGCAGCATGTTCGAGGGCAGCAGGATGCGAGCCCGGTCGGCCAGCTCCGAGCTGAGCGTGGATCCCACCAACAAGACATCGATGGCTTCCTAAAAAGAAGAGTAAGTAAGGATTCCCATGCTCATTATCAGAGACATTCAAGACTCACCTGCTTCGAGTTGTCCAGCAAATTGTTCTGTATGGTCCTGGCCGCCGATCGGGCTCCGTCCATCAGCTTGGAACCGCCCTGAATGGCGCCAGTGCCGGCGTAGATCTTGCTCACCTCGTTGCCATTGTTGATCCACATCTGGCGGAATATCTCCTCGAAGCGCGAGATGTTCTGCTGCTTGCCGCCCATCTTCAGGGCCTCCAGCTGCACGTTGAGCGTGTCCAGGCCCAGGTAGGTTTGGACGCAATTGGTCCTGTCCAGGCAGTCCAGGCAATTGGTGCGTACGACGCCAAACTGCTCGCGAAGAACCTGACCATCGCTGGCCGCATGGAAGACACCGTAGTTGGCCCCGCAAGCCACGATCCTTTCCTTGAGCTTGGCCAAGGCCGAGAAGTTGCCGCCGCGGCACTCCTGGTGATAGTCAAAGACCACATGCGGCACGTCCTTGTGCGCGGACATGCCGTGGTGGCGTTGGAACTCGTTGCTGAGCATGGCCTCGCCCTCCTTGCTGCCGATGAGGGAGCTGCCCAGGAGATTGACTATCGTCTGGTAGCCGTAACGCTGCCGCATCATGCTCATGTGGCGATCGAAGGCCGCGGCCGAGGTCTCGAAGCCCCGCGATAGCTTCACCTTGTGCGATCCGACCTGGACGCCGGGCTGCTCCCAGAAGAGCGGAACGGAACCGCGCGTCTGCACATAGCTGGTCACCTCGCCGTCCACATAGATCACCTGCTCCGTCTCCACGAAGTTGGCCACGTAGCCCTCGTCGTTGGTGCCGCGCACATTGAACCGGGTGCCCGCCCGCTCGCAGCTCAGCCGCGAAATGATGGCCGCCCGGGCCTGCTTGGCCCCGATGTAGACGGTGCGCACCTCCACGGAGCCGCACATGGCCTGCAGCAGCCACGACTGGCAATCGATGCCGAAGCGCATCAGGTGGATGTGCATCATGCGGTTCCAGAAGAACCTATTGTCCGTCTCCTCCGTCTGCTGGCGTCGCTGGGCGCACAACGTGATGTCGAAGCGATGCGGGGTGGCACCGCCGGATGCCGAGGCGCTGGCATTCGTGTGGGCAAAGTAGAAGGTCCCAGAGTTGAGGAGCTTGCGTACCTCGCTGATCTTGTCCTCGTTGGGCGCCGCATTCTGCAGCGAAACGAACGTGGTCTGTGTGATCCGGAAGATCTCCACGTCGCCGATCTTGCCCATGGAGACACAGCCAGTGACGAGCACCAAGAATAGGACGGTGCTCTCGCCGGCGTTCAGCTGGAGGGCACCGAGGCAGCCGTAGGCATCGCAGACCTTGGTGTACTGCTTCCGGATCACGTCGGTCTCCTGTTGGGTGAGTAGGGCCACCGCATGCGACTCGAAGAGGATGCTGTCGCTCTTGTGCCGATGCTCCAGGAGGACGCTGTGCGGCGAGGGGGCTATGGATTTCTCCAGCACCCGAATCACCTTGGACATGGCCATCTTGCTGAGCGGTCTCTAGAGTGAGTGTTTTCCTAGGGGTATAAGGTCTGATCCTTTGATGTCTGCAATTCAAGTGCTAGTGACGACCAATTCCAGTCCAGGGCACGCGGCTAAGACATCTGTGGGAGCGCAGATCGTTAATTGTGGGTGTATTCCAGGGGTATATAAGTGGGTGTATTGGTTTATAATTGTTTTCGCTGTTTATGGGGTATGTGGACTTTATATTTTCCTAATTTTTTATTGCCAGAGAAAAACCCTAAACTTTTTATAAACTGCACAAGTTCTGTAGAGACTGCGTTTCGGTTTTCGAATTATCCTATATTTTTTAAATATGCGTTTTTAGATTTTAGCTGAATTTTTAATGTATTTTTCCTCGTCAGTGTTTTCAGGATTATACAATCTCTCCCTTTCAAACCTGGTTTAAAACTGCGATTAAGGCAAGGTTTAAGCTAACAAAGAGTTGTGAATACAATGTTTAATTAATGCCCGTGTTCATTAGTTTTAACAAGCTTAGCTTTCACATCATTATTCGCCAGAATAGAACAGTTAGCTCTAGCTATCGTTAAATCGTGCGATTTCACTTTAATCACCAAAGAATAGCGGCGAAAATCTGTGGAAATGGGAAACAACCAGCTGCAAACACTTTCAGCACTAAATAAGCACTAAAATATCGGGTGGCCTGTTAAAAATCAATACACACAACTGTTAAACATAAACAAACCGAAAAAAGGCGAAGGAATTTTTCCAATATTTCCGCCTCCCACTCAAGTTCACGCACACACACGTACATTTAACATGCACCGGCGACAGCTGTGCTCTCCCTCGCTCTCACGAGCTGCAGGTGTGTGCGTGTGACGACTGATAAACATTTTCTGCGCATTCTATGGATTTTTCACAATGCAACAAAGTTTTCGAAAAGTATTTCGATTTTCCCAGCACCTTGTGGACACTAATAACAGCTATCAACAGAGTCCTCAATGTTTAGTTTATCTGCGTTAGCCAAAAATGGGAAATTATTAGGGCCCAATACCTTTGTTTGAGAATTTATTGCGAATTTCCGAGAGCTTTGGCGAGTAGTGTGCTCGTACTTGGGTGGCCGAAAAACGGCAGCATTTTCAGCTGCCGATAACTATAACGCTGGTTATCGATTCACAGTGATCGTTATCGACCGTTAAAATGCGACTTGAATTTATAAAACTTTAATAATAGAATAAATGTTCTACAAATTCAAAATTCTGCGCTAAAATAGCCCCTCAAGTGTTATTACTTGCTTTCCAAGATTACGCGGGACACTTGACGATAGCGAATTTCTAGATAGAGCTTATCACCGGCGGGTACAATGCCCAGCTTTGTTAAAATAGTTTTCACTATCTAACAAAAATGCAAATATATCCGTCGCTAAATATATCTAAATCTCCAGCACACTTTTCGCATAGATAAGAAACGCTTTCACTTTCGACCATGCCGTGAGTTGTCCTCTTCCTCTCCGCTGTTTGGATTTCTCCGGCGCACCCTTTTCCGGCAGAGGTCATGCCGCCACTCACGTGCCCGTTGGAAACACGATTAGATAGCTTCCTAGGCACTGGTCCTCCGCGTAATCATAATAGAGAAAACCCAGGAATTGTAAATCACAAAGTCAGCCAGCCAAGCGGGTGATTCATTCGATGTCACCTTATCTGCAGCCCCGAGAACCTATATAAATTTGAATTACACACGAAAGTAAACAAACAAACGATTATGTTGGTCATCATATTGAATTTATTTTCATTTTGTTTCTGTTGACTAGCTTTAGGCTTAATTAATTAATTAATAAATACGCTCTAGCTCTAAGTTCCGATTTAGCTTGGCAAAAACGACGGCAAAGAATTTTATCTAATCGCTCAACTGAAGAGGAAAATTCGAATGGAATGCCGTGCCTTGGGCCATTGATAAGTATTGACTAATTTACATAATTCCGGAGACAGCACTCCTTGTTCCCCCGAACGTACGTCATTCCATTCCGCATTTAATTGCACACATTTTCACCCATTTTTGGAGCCCAAGCTGCAGTCCGTGTTTATGGTTCCACTAATTGTTTTTACTTAAGGCGTAAGCTGCGGCCTTGGTCCACGATCGTCCGTCCTACTTCGCCTGATATGCCCCCTCCCTATCCTCCGCCTATCTGGGAGTCATTCAATTCATAAATATGTTTGTGCCGCCGCCCTGTTGTCATGGCTTAAGTCCATTAAGATAAGGTGCTGCTCTCTGGCACAGAATCGAAAGAATTTTCCGCCGATCATGTGATCATGGAAAGTTCTATTTTAACATTGGATCTAATGGAGCTAATGCTCTCCTCTCCCGGCTGACCTCAGACCAGAGATGGGATCACTTGTAATGGCAGGCAAGGGGGCAAAAGTGCGACGACATTAATTACGCTAAAAACTCGGTGCAAAGGCGATGAGTCAGCTGATGTTTCCCAGCTATTTGGCCAAATCCCCCGCTCTGGTGACTCACTGATAACGAAGAACCTTGCGGAGCGAACCCTGCAATCAATCAGAACCTAATGGGGTTTCTTTCATTCGTTTCGATTCGATTCGATTTATTCAATGGCTTTCTTCCATTCTCGGAGCTTATGTACAGAAGCTGAGGCAAAAACAAAGGGCGGAAGAACCACAAAACACAAACAACTCAACTCAACTTATAACGTAATCATAAACGTAGGAGGCTTAACCGATAACAATATTCAACTAAGGTGCTGGGCCGAAAAATAAATTAAGTAATTACAATTCAAGAAGCGGGGAACGTTCGTTAGTCTAACTATAACGTGTGTGCAGGGGCTGCTGCCCCCACACACACTCGAAACATACGTAATAATTATATACACAAAGCATCGTTAACCAGTTAACCAGTTTCCGCGAAGCCAACAAACTGCGCCTGGCCGGGTTCACCCCAAGCGCCACGATCGATCTTCGATCTGGTTGTCTAATCCCTAATCTAGGTCCGTCGTCCGCGCCACTCTCTCTCTCTTTTTACAGCTCTAAGCCTAGGCTTACGTAGTGACTAAGGTTCAGCTAATAATACTACTAATACCAGACGCTGAGAGTACAAAATAACAAACTTAACTAGTGGCTGCTACGACGCCAGCAGTCGCTGCTTGGCGCCCGTGCAGATCAGCGTTTCCCCCGATGATCCTGATCCCGATCCTGTTCCCGTCGTGGTTGTGGCCACTTCTGGCGCCCCCGCTAACGTGGGCGCTGGCTGTTGTGGCGCCAGCGGGGCGTTGGCTGCATCGCAGGCGGGGCTGTTCAGCTCGTAGGCGACACCGCCCCAGTGCAGCTTGTAGGTGCGGGTGCGCCAGCGAATCGCGGGATTCCACAGGGCGTGCAGGAACAGATAGGGGCCCGTCAGCTCGCGGAACAGCCAGCCGATGACGAACTCGAATTTGTGGAACGGCATCGAGCCGTGCTGGACAATGGAGAGCAGCAGCCAGTCGGACAGGAACCAGCAGAGCACGTGCACCAGGTAGAACACCAGCGGATCCCAGCTGAAGAGCACGGAGGCCGACCACGCGGCCAGGGCGCCCAGGATCATGCACTCGGAGAGCGGCTCCAGCAGTATAGTCGTTGGCACCATGGCCACGCGCAGCTTGGCCCAGCGGATGAGCCGCGCCTGGAAGCTGCCAATGTCGCACAGCCCGCTGTTCTGCAGGGCCGGCTGGCTGGAGATGCGCATCTTCCAGCCGAGTCGCGTTATGTCGCGGGCAATGAAGAAATCCTCCGCCAGGTAGCAGCCAAAGGCCCTCAGGCCTCCCAGCTGGTCGATGACCGCCTTGCGCAGCAGGCACGACATGCCCGTGTGGCAGTTGATACCCAGCACGTCCGCCGACAAGTAGATCCTGCTCTGGACCGTCCCAAAGAACACCTTCTCGAAGGTGGCCGCAAAGCCATCGCGGTCGCTGGTGAAGGGCATTTGGTGGACCAAGGCGTGCTTCTCGGACATGTTCTGGACCATGTCCAGCAGCGTGTCGTCCTTCATCTTGATGCCGCTGTCCGAGATCATCACGAAGTCGTACTTGGCGGCCATGTAGCCGGGATGGATGTTGTTGATCTTCGGGTTGACGCCCACGTCCGAGCCGCCGACAAAGAGCTTGGCGTCCACCTTGGGATACTTGGTGAGGAGCCGCTCCACCAGCTGGATGGCCGGGTCCTCCTTGTCCTCCACGCAGAAGAGCAGCTCGTACAGCGGATAGTCCATCGTGAAGAAGGTCTCCAGGTTGTGCTGCAGGTTCGGATCCACGCCCATCAGCGGCTTCAGAATGGAGACGCCGGGCAGAGGCTGGGCCTCTGTGGGCAGCTTGCAGGACTTCTTGTGCAGCTTGTAACGCCCGTAGCAGATGGCTATCACATGCACCATCCAGGTGCCGAACCAGAAAATCATGAAGAACGCCGCGAAGCCGTACAGCGGCAGTGGTAGGTGCGACATCGCGATGTGTGTGTCCCGTCCCTCGCGGGTGTGTGTGCGGAGTGTGTGTGGCGTGCGAGTGGGGGCTCCCTCGCGAGTGTGTGTGTGCGGGGTGTGTGGTGGGTCCGAATCCCAGTCAGTGTGTGTGAGTCGCTGGGTGGGTGGGCGCTCCTATTCAGCCAGCAGGCATTGGCTGCGGTTGCCGCTTTGCGGTTTGCCTAGGCTCGGATCACCTCTCTATATTGTGTACAAAAACCGATCAGTTGTCGTCCGTTCCGCGCGTTTTCAACATTTTGCAGTTCTCGCGTCGCTCAATGCCCAAAAAAAACTGCTGCCCCAAAGTGCAGTGTTGAGCGGTGTCGTGAATCAGATGCGGAAGTCGAAAAGGGACTAAATAACGACAACGGGGTGGCTGGGCATTTTGCAACACTGTCGCTGGGTTTACACGTCGGCAGTTGGAGGGTGACGAATACTGTTTTATTTATGATCAATAGCTTTTTTCCTATGACAAATAGTTTATAAATAAAAAGTCTTTAATTTATTTCTATTAAGTAATGGGGATTTTATTTGTAATATTTCCTAAGAAATATTTTAACTTGTGTTTTCATATATCTTTCTTCCACATAATTTTAAATCCGTCATTTCAGTGTGCCTTTAAATAAAAATAAATTATTTATTTTACATTTTATATATTATAAATTATATTAAATATATATTTTTCATAATTCACAATCATAACCGTTCAGTGTAAACGTGTAAACGGAGTATGAACCACGGTAGCCAACACTGGTCGAATTGTGCCCTCCACTGGGGAAGCTTTTAAATAATATAATATAATTTTAGCTATAATAATACATATAAACGCACACATAAATGACACCAATGGAATCCTCGTCGAAGGACAATGACGCCGAGGCCGACCCAAGCACAAAGAATGAGGCTCCACCGAAGGAATCCAAGTTGCCGCGGTCCATCCAGACCGCGTTCGACGCCAAATACAACATTGTGGACCTTCAGACGCCGCTGAACGCCTTCATGTCCGGCCAGTACAAGCGGAGCTTCGCTTACCACAGTCTTAGGAACAGGCTGCCCGTGGTACTGACCAACGTGATAGACACAATGACGCGGGAGAAGACGGAGTTAGTGGCCCAATATGGTGAGGATTCGGAAAAGGTTTTAAACCCATCACTTACTGATCATGTTCTTGTCCAGCTTCCAACGACTTTGAAAAGGCGGCGCGGGATGAGCTGAAGACCATCATAGGACTGATTTCGCAGCTGAAGTACGAGCTGCAGACGGACAAGGCCTTCCACAATTTCAAGGGAGCAGGTTAAAAGTGTTCCGCTGCTTTAAGGCTCCAACTTAATCGAAAATCTCATCCTTAGAACCCGACCAGGATGACTGGAACAACTTCCTCGGCGACCTGCCCAGTGGCGAGCGCACCTTCTACCGCGGCTGCTCCCTCCACGCTGAGTGCTACTTGTACCGCAAGCTCTACTCCTTCGTGGAGAACAGCATCTTCCTCAAGGGCTACGATTACTTTGCCAAGATCAAGGAGCAGGCGCTGACCGGCAGCATGGACGACGTGCTGGCCTTAACCAAGTACACGCGTCGCCCCGAACGCACCCCGAAGTTTTTCGGCGAGCTGCTCAAGATCAACCTGTGGAGCAACTGCAACGATGCAGCCAGTGATCCGGAGGCAGCAGCCCAAATGCTGAACCTTAGGGTATTAAAGGACGTGGAGGCCACGAATGAGTATGTGCTTGTCGACCACGCGGCGGAGATTTGGCGCTGCCTGACCACCGGGAATCTAAAGAAGCCACAGCAGGTGGACTTTATTCTGGACAATGCGGGCTACGAGCTGTTCAGCGACCTTATCTTGGCGGAATATATGGTCGAACAGGGAATGGCCACCAAGGTGCGTTTCCATGTCAAGGCGCATCCGTGGTTTGTGACCGACGTCACGGAGAGGGACTTCAAGTGGACCCTGGAGTATTTGAGCCAGCACGCGGACTACATCATCAGTTTGCTGGGCAAGAAGTTTATGCAGTTCCTGGACGAGGGCAAGTTTGAATTGGCCCCCATTTCACATTTCTGGACTTCGCCGCATGCTTTTTGCAGGTGCGATTGGAGAACACAGCGAAGTGCCCCCTAAATAACTCACTTGCTCATTTCTTTCAGCATGGCGCAAACGGATCCCGAGCTGTACAGCTCCCTGCAGCTGTCCAAATTGGTGGTCTTCAAGGGAGAGCTCAACTACCGCAAGCTCTTGCAGGACGTTTGCTGGGCCAGCACTCTGGAGCTGAGTACGTGCCTCCGGGGTTTCCTGCCGAGCAATATCTGTGTTTTGAGGCGGGTCAAGAGCGAGATTGTGTCGGGACTGGCCGAGGGTTCTTCACAGGCGCTAGCCAGCAAGGATCCCCACTGGATGGTCTCGGGCAGCTATGGGCTAATCCAGTTCGTAGACGGAGCGCGTGAATTTGGATATTAGCCGAGAATCTCTTGAATGTACCAAAAATAAATAAATGTTAATTTATTTAGAGTTTAAATATAAAACAAGTAAATTAACACTAAAAATATAAAAAAAGAAAATTAAATAAATAAAAAAAATAAAATGAATTCTGTTCTTTACACTTTGCTTGACAAAATAATAAAGAAGGAAAACAGTTTTTGACTTGTAAATAAAGGCAAAGAAATTTCGATACTTAAAAAATCTCTAACAAGATTTCCTTTTAAAAAATGTTTTTTTCCGCCACTATACAACACTGCAATGCACATTTAGCTGTCTGGCAGCACTGCCTTGTTATCGTTATCGGAAACCGCAGCGCAACAGTAACGAAATTCAATAAACAAATCCCAATTGGAAGCTTAATTTCAATAATAATAACTTATAAACTGCGTGATGTCTGGCGACAAGGATTTCGATGCTAAGAATGGCATAGTGGATGGACCGACGCCCCCGCACACGGAGCTGGCGGCCCTATACAAGCAGTGAGTTCCGTATTGGTCACTAAATATAGCGCCTAGTATATGTAACAACAACTAAGGCCGCACTATCTTCAGCCTTTAGTTCTAATTTATTAATGTTTATTGCAGGAGCTTTGCCTACTACACGTTCCGCGTGCGACTGCCCTCGACCTTGGCCACCATTGCTGATTCCCTGGTCAAGGACAAGGACGAACTGCTGGCCACATATGGAGAGGTGAGTAAAAGCCCCTTCTCCATGACCTTGACGGGGTTACCCCTGCTCCGATTTACTTGCAGGCAGCGGGCGCGGATATTGAACAAACTACAAAGGACGTGCGGCAGTTGCGCGAGGATATACTGAGCAATGGAAGCCTGCAGCCCTTTGCAGAGGGAAAGGGTGCGCTAGTAACACCTCATTTTACTCAAGAGACTTCCCTTTAAGTGCCGAAATTCTTCCACTTCAGATGCCCAGCTGTGGAACACCTTCCTCGACAAGCTGCCCGCGGAGAAGAGAAGCTACTTTGCCGCCTGTTGGCTTTATGCCGAGTGCTACATGTACCGCCGCATCTCGTCTATCTTCCAGGCCACCAGCCATATGGCCCAGCACGACTACTTCAGCCGGCAGAAGCAGACGGCCGCCCGGCTGAGCGTGGACGCCATGCTAGCAGTGGCCAGAGCCACGCGGCAGAACGAACGCAGCGCGGACACCTTCCGGCAGCTGGTCAAGCTGAATCTCTGGGGCAATCGCTGCGATCTGTCGATCACCTCCGGCAAACAGGTCAAGCCCACGGGCAATGCCTTCGACCAGGTCACGGATCTGGAGGAGAAGCTCCTCATCGACGGCACCGCGGCGGTGTGGCAGGCTCTGAACGAGGGCTCTAGCGCGGGCATTGTGGATATTGTCTTCGACAATGCCGGCTACGAGCTGTATACGGACCTCATCCTGGCCGAGTACATCATCGACAAGGGGCTGGCGGCCAAGGTGCGCTTCTACCCGAAGGCCATACCCTGGTTCATCTCGGACGTTATGGAGCACGACTACCATTGGACGCTACAGTTCCTCGCCGACCAGCCGGACGCAGTGCTCAGTGAGCTGGGCAAGAAGTGGCAGCGTCTCACCAAGGAGGGCAGGTTTGAGCTCTCGCCGCTGGAGCACTTCTGGACGAGTCCCTACGAGTACTATCGCATGGCAGAGGTGAATCCAGGGCTCTATAACCGCCTGAGGGAGGCGCAGTTGGTGATCTTCAAGGGCGACCTCAACTACCGGAAGCTGTTGGGCGACTTCTCTTGGGACAGCACCGAGTCCTTTGAGACCTGCTTAAGGGGTGAGTGGGGAAACTTGGAACTTGGGTATATATATTATGGTACATCCTTCGATCCCTTCCAGGCTTTCGTCCTTCGAATCTCTGCACTCTGCGCACCGTCAAAGCAGATCTAATCTGCGGCCTGGGAGCCGGTGTGGCGGAACAGCTCTTTGCCAAGGACAAGGAATGGATGTTGACCGGCGAATATGGCGTCATACAGTTTGCCAGCCAGTGAGACGGCGATCCATATTGTTGAATTGTTGTAGTCCTAGTTAATGTAGCCCAAATTGTTGAACAATTAAAGCGGTTTTGTTGCCTTCGAGTCGATATTTAAGGTTTGTAAATTATAAAAGTCTTTGTTGGTGAATTTATTAAGCAAAGATATTCAACTTAAGCTGAAAACTTAGTTTATTTTACATTTCCCAAAGAACATTAAATTAACCGCCAGATTTCTTAAATTATGCAATACATCGACTTCAGTTTTAAAATTAAGATTAACTTAAATCAAAAAAGTTCTTTCGGTTTGTGAACACTCGTGGTAAACTTTGGTATAAACTAAAAGTGTTGTAAGCTTAATACTTAATCAATCACCACATCTTCGTCAGTTTCGCTTTCAACCTCCTTTTCCTTCTTCGCAAAACTGAGCAGCTTGTTCCTGATCTGGGCAGGACATGGCTTCAGCTTGTATGGGTACTTATCCCGCATTTCCTGCGACAAGTAGAAGCCTTTGTAGTACTCCCTGGCATATTCACTTTCCGATTTCCCTTTTTGGTTATCGCAACGCAGCATACGCTGGACGATGTCCGGAAGATTGCTCAGATAACGTTTAAAAAGTTTAAACGAGACGGGATTTCCGTGGGTTTCCTTGGCCTTACTCTCCTTTACTGGAGAATTTTTCAATTGCTGCGACAGAGTGATTGTTGGCGGAACAAGCCCCAAAGATCGAAGATGTGCATAGCACATCTTGGCGGCACATGGGGACTGCTGTTTAGAAGGAGAGATGGATTAATAATTCAGATACTCTTCTTGTATACTTTACCGTAGTTGGCGTCTCCGCTGGTGTGCCCGACCAACAAGCGGGATCGACTCCCATGCCCTGCGCAAGGCTCTTAATGAATAAAATAAAATCTTCGCGCATCTCCTCCTTCTCGCGCCTAAGCGCATCGTTTTCTTCTCGGAGGCTTTGGACAAGGTCCAAAAGCTCCTTCTTTGTTTGCAGATCTTTTCTTGATGCCATCGACGCGGTTTGAATGTGAATGTGAGACAGAAATCCGAAATTACAGCTGTAAAACTCGATAGTAATATCGATAATATCGATGGTGGCGCGATACCTCGATTTATTTTTACCACCAAAAAAAAATTTTTTTAAAAAACATGTTGAAAAATATGTAATTGGTTTTTTATTATCACCAATTGCTATAGATGGATACTATCAAAAATATCGCTAGTCTATCCTATCACTATAGAAAACTATCACTATCCATGTTTTTACAGCAACAACCATTTACAAGAACAAAAATCTATTAAAACAACGAATTTTATGCAAAACAAAGTTTAAATAACCGCCAAATTTGAAAAGACAAGTTTCACACCTGGTTTTTATAACACTTTAGAACAGTTTCCAGTCGCCAGCTGCTGGTTCTGTTCTGGGATTCGAGTACCGGGAATCCCAGAAATGTATGAATTTGTACTGAAACTGGCAAGACTGAATGAAGCCCACACATGCATTATGTACGTCAGAAATTAAGAAAAAAATATATATATTTATATAAAACTCATCGTTTAAACTCAAAATTTAGGTTTTCTGCCAGCGGGGATGACGAGCGAGGCCTATAGCCGCACCGATGGCGCCACGGGCGATAAACTGGCGTCCATCGAAAATTTAAAGGAAATCGAGTTCAACGAGAAGAATCTCATTATTTATTCACCGCCCGGAGTGGAGGACGAGTTGTCCGCCCGTTTCTTGTACAGCTTGGCCTACGCTACCCTCAGGCATCGGTCGCCGGATCTGATCAGCGAAATTATTGTCTTCCTGCGCGACCAGGAGCCGGACATTGTCAGGGAATGCGGAGACTACGCCCACTTCGATCTGAAGCGGACCGTGTGGAGCCTGGAGCTGTTGCGCCAGGACATAGTCGAGAACAAGGAGTTTGAGATATTCCGGGTCAAGTCGCCGGATACTGAGCCTTGGAACAGGTTCCTTAACGCCATCGTCAAGGAAAAGCGGCACTGGTTCTCGGCGGTGTGGCTCCATGCCGATTGCTACATGTACCGGCGCATCTGGTCGATCTTCCAGCGATCGGACACCCTGATGGACTACGATTACTTTGGCGAGCAGAAGATGCTGGCCACCAAGAAGGCGGCGCAGATGATGAAGTCGATCCTGGGAACCACCAGGGACCTGAAGCGCAGCCGGGACAACTTTCAGCGCCTGCTGAAGCTGTCCCTGTGGGGCGAGCGCAGTGCCTGGATGTCGGAAGGATGTCGTTTAAACGACCTGCTGGTGGAGTACGAGTGCGATCTGCTGGCCGATCAGTCGGTGGCCGTGTGGCGGGATCTCAGGCATGCCTACGATCCCGTCTACGTGGACATTGTGACCGGCAACGCGGGCTTCGAGCTCTTCACGGATCTTCTCCTGGCCGACTACATCATCCGCTCAAAGCTGGCAGAACGGGTGCGCTTTCACTTGAAGGCCATTCCCTGGTTCGTTATGGACGCCACCCACAAGGACTTTCATTGGCTGCTGGACTTCTTTCGCAACCACGAGTTCATCGAGTTGCAGGGCTTTGCCCGCCAGATCCAGCAGCACCTGCAGGACCGCTCTTTTATCCTCTGCGAGCAGAGCTATTTCTGGACCAGTGCCTACGACTTTAGCCACATGAAGCAGGTTCAGCCCTGCCTGTATGTCTACCTGAGCGAGGCATCGCTATTGATCTTCAAGGGGGACCTCAACTACCGCAAGTTGCTTGGCGATGTAAACTACTGCTCCACGGATAGGTTCGAGAACTGCCTGCGCGGCTTCCAGCCGACCAGCGTGTGTGCGCTGCGTGCGATCAAGACGGATCTCTACTGCGGCCTGACCGTCTGCCAGGTGGAGTGGCTGAACGAGGACGAGCCCAACTGGATGGTCACGGGGGAGAAGGCGGTCATCCAGCTGGCGGTCAAGCATCGCCTGTCGGGGGACATAATTGTGGCTCTTTGAAGGGGTTTAAATATCCATTAAATGCAGCTTGTTGTCGTGGCTTTTCCCAAATGATAAGCTAGCTTTTTAGCTCTGTTTTTTATTCATTTATTCATGGTTTTTAGTTTTTATTAGTTCCTAAATGGTAGGCGGTGTAAGTCGTTAAAATAAGTATTGCATTCCGTACTTTAGAGACTACAATCTAGGCATTATCAAGTAAGTATGAATGGTAGAAAAATATGTATGCTCTAAGGCCATATAGCTACAGCTATTTCTATATATATATATTTATATGATCGCTGATCGATGCTTCGAATTGTTCAAGTCTTATCAATTGCCGTTATAATATGGGGAGGAAAAGAAAAACAAACAAAAACATTAAATTTTCATGCAATATTCTGTAGTTCCAATATCAACTTCATTTCTTTCTTGGAGGGATGGCGGCGGCACTCCCCTGCCTCACATGAGGCAGTTGGGATTGAGCTGCTGATATGGCGTCAGATCTTTGGTGATCGAGAAGAGCGCTCCGTCGCGCACCATCTTGCACATGAGAGCGCCCAGATTCTTGGCATCGTCGATGCCCGAGTGGGCCCTGCCCTCGAAGGCCAGGCCCACATGGGCGAGGGCATCGCTAAAGTTGCACGGACGGTACTTGTACCACGACCTGTATATGGCCCGCACATCGATCCACTGATTGAAGTAGGCCGCCTTACGCATCCGCTTCCGTGTGCACTCCTTGGCCAGGCAGATGCCAAAGTCCCAGTCCGTCCAGGTGACAAAGGCACAGTTGCCCAAAATGTTGGATTTGCTCATCTTCGGCAAGCTGAGCTGGCGGGAACGGAGCTCCTTGCGCAGCCACTCGTGGAACATCATTAGAGCCGTCTGTAGGGGTACACCAGTGTCCACGGTCTTTTGCTGAATGCCCGTCAGCTCGGTGCAGTAGCTGCTCAGGCGCGGCGACTCAATGGGCATGATGTACTTGTGGAACTCGGCCTCGATTTTGCCAGTCTTAAGGTTGACCAGCACAGCTGGGAATTCTGGGGGGGAGAGAGAGGAGGGAATTAGTGATAGAGAAAAATAAACAAAGGAAATCCTCACCTATAATCTCCGCCTCTCGCCACTGCGGTGGCGCCTGCTTCTCCCAGCAGGTGGCCTCAAAGTCCACGGCAATCACATAGGTATAGGGCTGCATGGCCAGTTGCTTGGACTTCCTTGACTTTTTGCCCTTAGCAGGCACTGTGCTGGCGGCAGCTGTGATTTCTGCTTCGTTCAAAGAGTCCTCGGGATCGTTGGCCGGATCTGGGCGGGCTCCATCCACATATATAGTGTCGATCAGGCCCAGTTGCCTGTAATAAAGGAATATATTAAGTTAACTTTATAAGTTGATAATTTTCTAGTAAAATATATGTATACATATGTTTAAAGGCCTTTTGGCAGATTGTAAAGTAAACAAAAGCAGGCACTACAAGTCAATAAAAGTGGGCAGAGAATCCTAACCTAAATCTTTGATTGCTGCTCTTTTGTAGATCTCAAGATCCCACCTATTGCTGCTTGCCATAGCAGACTATCATGGGCTTGAGGTGCCACACCAGGCCATTGGTCTCGCTGAGAGCCTGGGCTATCACTTCCGCTGCACTGGCCTCGTTCAGGAAGGTCACAAAGGCCTGGCCCTTCATGCGACCCTGCTGCATCACTTTGATGTCCAAGTTGGCGGGAGAAGCGAACCGGGAATAGAGCTCCCTCAGCTGCTGCTCGTCCACGCTCTTATCTAGGTTTTTCAGGTAAAGTTTGTTGCTGGGCTCGCCCTGTTTGTAGTTCTTGTAGATGGGCAGGGCCTGGAGCTCACTAAGGGTCAGGCGTTTTTTTGGAATGGATGCAGAGGCTTTAACAGGTGTCTCTTTAACGGGTTTCAGGGTCTCCGGCAGCTTGAGTTCTATTTTCGCTGCCTTGAAGCTGGCTTTTGGGGTTTCTGTCTGCGGATTCGAGTGACTTCCTTGCTGGGCTGCCGCCTGCTGCAGCATGTGCCGCGTTCTCTTGAGCATCTTTTCGCTGGCAGCTGCAGGCAGTAGTCGCTGCCTCTTGGCCTGCTGATCATCCTCGCTCTCCAGCTCGCTCTCGGGGTCACTGGGCACCAGCTCCGTTTGGGTGGCCACATTCTGGTGATTATTTATCATCAAGACATTAGAGGAACGCTTCTGGAAAGGCGGCTCTAGATTCATGCGATTCATCAGATGCAAAACCTGGTTGTAGAAGCCTTTGTTGACCTGCAGCTGCTGGCCAATCCTGGCCAGAATCTCCGCATTGATGGGCGGGTAACTGTAGCTGAGATATGGCGGCGGTGGCTGCGAGAAGTCACAATGATTATTGCAGGCATAGAGCCTTCGCACGTACTTGTCGATTTCCGGCTCCTGATTATCCTTTTCCGCGACTTCTCCTGCTGCTCCCTTGGCGGTTTGTGTGGCCTTGTTGGACAGGCCAGCTGCCGGTTTGTCCCGCGGTCCAAAGGCACTGATGTTGAGCGGCTTGTCCAACTGCTGGCTCAATCCTTGCAGCTGCTCCAGCGCCTTTGCCGCCTCGTGCAAATCGCCATACTCCAGGAGCGCCCTTTTGCGGCCGTAGGAGTTGAGGGTGCGTGGCACAATCAGCCGGCACTCCTGGATAAGCTGGGCCAGCTCCTCTAGGCTGCAGGGCATCTGTTTCAGGAGCAGTTTGCTGCTTTGGACGGCCATTTTGAGCAGGAATTTTAAAAATTCCAACAACTTTTCGAGGTTTCAATTGAAAGAGTGACCTTATCACAGGGTTTAGGAAATCTCCCACAGTTGTTTGCTATAAACAGCTGATTTTGCTATAAATTAACGTTGCCACCTTTCTCGTTTGCGCTTAACAACACTACCTTTGGCGGGAGTTTTGAATGTTTATTCCAGCTGCAGCCGCTTGATGTTTGGTCGATAAAAAAGCGAGTTGCATAAAAAAACGCAAGCCGGCGCTTACTTTCACTAATTGCACCGGTTATCTCAGATTTCTGATGGAAGTTTAGCGCACTCTGAGGCGAAATTGAAGGGGAAAATCATAATAGAAACAAAATACAATTTTTGTAAGGAAATATAAGCTATAAATAGTAATTTTCTTAGATTTTAATATATTTTTAATTAATAAAATTATTCCAAGCCTTTCCTGGATTTTGAAACCATGAAAACTACATTAAAACCTCTTCATATTCTAATATTTTCTTTAATTAATTAACTTCCTTTAAATTGTTATATCCATTCTCTTTTGGGGGCCAAAGTAGTCACAGACAAATGCTCGAATCGCGTGCCATCTTCGGGATAATCATCACATGACCAGCACCCTGCACTTACTCGTAAATGCATTTAATTACAACCCACCCACTGGGGTTTCTTGTTGGTTTAGATCTCCTTTTCAGATGAGCGTAATTTTCCATTTTCCAGAGAGAGAGGCAACCGAGTCGGAGTCAATGCACTTTTGGCGCACGCTTTTAATCAAATTGAATTACATGCGAAAGAGGCCTGACATGATCTGCTCTGCTTTTTGATATATGGCACACACAAAGTGGTTATAAAAAGATCAGCGAGCCAGCCGCCGCCCCCAGATTGCATAAAATTTGCAATGATTAAATGGACAAACGATGGGCCAGCGGAGGGGGGGAAATGTGCATTCAGACACTTTCGCTTTTCACTGGCTTTTCGGAACCGAGCCGAGCCACATGCGGAAGTCGCCAAATTGGATGAATGAACTCTCCTCCTTCCTGCTCGCCTCTGCTCTGCTCTCAGCTCGGAGGGGAAAAATAAGGAAAACAACTTTTTGAATTCACTTTTACTTGCGCCAATTGAAACGAGTCCGTCCGACCGCCGTCGGCTTTGCATTCTAAGTGACTTTAATGGGTTAAGCTATATTTAGAAAATTGCAACAAATTGCCAAGTGGAATGCCAGTGGAGCACACAGCAATTTGCACGCGGAAAGGAGGTTAACTGGAGGAAGGATCAATTGCAATAGGGAAATGGAGTGGTAAATAGGATAGATAGGAACTATAAGGATGTAATTGGGGGTTCATTAGGGGATCTTTAAGGCTAGTTTTGAAGGTAATTTAGTTGATATAAACGAAGGCATTTTGAAAAAGGTAAATGTTAATTTAATGCAATAGGAAAATGTTAAGAAAACGTTGTCCAAGTTTTTACTCTACCTTGGAGATTCTTATTACAAATTTAGTAAAAACAAGAAAGAAAACTAACTTCGGGAAGCCGAAATTTGTATACCCTTGCAGTTTGCCATAGGATCTTTCATCCAATCAAAAACCGATCATAATTAAGCCAAAAAAGCATCAAATTCAATTCGGAAAGCTTTTCTGTGCTTGTTTTTTCTAGGGTAACAAAACTGCATACAAAATTTAAAATTTTAAGATATTACACTTTTTGATTATTTTTTTTGTGACAATTGAAGCATTTTAAGACCTCAAAAACACAAAAAAAATTAGGAAAAATGTTTTTCTCCTAAACTTGGCTAGATCGACTCCGCTTTTTGTGCTGATCAAGAATATATATGATTTATAGGGTCGGAAACGACTCCTTCACTAACTAAAATCATATAAACCCTTCGAGAAGATCTAAAATATTCACACTCTTTAAATGAATATTTTTATATATTTTATATGGTAATTTTTTTATAAAAATATTCATAACTAAGCCAAAAAAGCATCAAATTCAATTCGGAAAGTTTTTCTGTGCTAGTTTTTCCCAGATAAACAAATCTGTTTACTAAATTTCACATTTTAAGATATTAAAATTTTTGCAAACTTTTCTGTGACAATTGAACCATTTTAAGACCTCAAAACACAAAAAAAAATTAGGAAAAATGTTTTTCTCCTTAACTTGGCTAGATCGACTCCGCTTTTTGTGCTGATCAAGAATATATATGATTTATAGGGTCGGAAATGACTCCTTCACTATGTAACACACTTTTGACTAAAATTATAATACCCTGCAAGGGTATAAAAATATAGTTAAAATATACATTTAAACAGTATTCCATTGCAATTTCCACCCCCAAAAGGCACTGATTCATTAAAAAGCCTCCTCCTGAATCAGCAACAGGTTTCCCCCATTGGTCATCACCTCCTCTATATCTCCTATATTCCCTCCCAAAACTCATTCATTCAGTGATGACAAGCCCCTTTTTACACATTCCCCATTTAATTAGCCCACGAAAAACGTTGCACTGAAGTGCGATTTGCATTGTCGCCGAACAATATAACTAAGCAATTACTAATCACTCTACCGAAAGAGAGAGCCCACTTAAAATTAACTAAATAATACTTTTTAAGGCATGAACTGTAGTTTCAGGCCAATTGTTGGCAGCCTAATGAGTTTTGGCCAAATGAGAAGCGTGCTCGAACACAAAAGAGTGAATGAATAGCAAACAAAATAAATAGCAAAAGACTATAAATAACTATAGCGGTTTAAGTTAATTGAAACTCAAGAAAAACTATATAAATATAAAAAAAAGAACTAAGAACTGTCTGGCCTTCCTGTCTCTTCTTTTGATATAATTTTATATTAAATTCATAATTATTTCATTTTTACTTTTCCCTTCAAATCCAAAGAAATAACAAATGCCAGATTTACATAAATAGTAATCACATACCCTGTAATTACAGCATTTAAACGGAATCACGTGGCACCTTCGGCATTTAAAGAATTTAAAGAATCGTCTGCGGCAATTGAGTTCCCCTTCGGCTTTGCTAATTGCCACTACATATACTATATAGTACTGTAGAGTGGTATTTATTTACAGATGATTATAGTCAAGGTCCTGGAGAGGAGACGACGACTACGACTTGGGGCTTGGCTTGGGCCTATTGCAATTGATGGAAATTAGCGAGAGCTACGAAACAGAAACGACTGACGGTAGCTGGATTGCAGCGAAATTATATATATTTATTGCGCATACGCCCCGCGTGCCGGGGAGAGACAGGCGCGTGCATAAAAGTCGGGGCCAAAAAACGTATGACGACCTTCCCGCAGTCGGGCCCTATTTGGCCGGGTTACGTCTCTCCGCCGCCCCAGCAACTCCTCGCCGACTTGCATTATTTTGAATGCAATATACCCTTGATTTGGTCTGCTATATAGCCACCATATAGTGGTGGTGCTACCCCTGCATTTGTGTCGGTGTATCGGGTTCGGTTCGGTGTATCCGTGAGTTTCGTGTGCGCCATGCTCTTGACTTTGGATAAGTTTGGTGAAAACTGCTTTCAGCCGGATTTCCCGCACTCTCTAGCCAGAGAATTGGAATCAGAAAACCAGACGGCGATGCCGATGTCGATGCCGATTGCCAGCCAATGTCGGGGCATTGAATTGAGCAGAAGCGTTCATTGGTCAACTCACCGATATAGCTTTGGAATTTCGAGAGAATCTCGAGAGTATATACCCTAAGATCGGTCAAAGGTGGCTCTCAAGTTGGGCTCTGTCTTGGTTTTCAGTTGGGTTTTAAGAGGTACAGAGTATACTTTCTTCGTGGCGGCCTCTCAAGAAAAGCTGCTTCTGTTTGATCTTTAATTTGTGCGCAGCAAAAATTCAATTGTTGAGCAAAAATAATCTATAAACTTATAGTCTCTCTATATAAATCGTGCCCAAAATAATACTTTTTTTGTATGCAAAAGTTCTCACATTTTGATTTATACTCATTATTCACCCACAGCCACAGCCTGAACAATTGTTATGGCTTTGAAATTTAAAATAATTTGTATATTTAATGACGGACATTATCAACTATTTTGGGAGCTATAACTATCTAGAATCTAGATCATAAAGTTAATGAGGCTATTATTTTTTATATTAGATACAAAGTAACGAGGAGTTCTATTTCACAAATGAGTCAAAAATGCATTAATTTTAATTCGGAAAGCTGTTCTGTGCTAGTTTTAAATAGGTTTATAAATCTGCAAACTAAATTATGAAATTTAAGAAAATGAAATTTTTATCCAATTTTTCACAATTTCAACGATGTAACCCCTTATAAAATTTTGAAAAAAATTAAAAATTTTATTTTCTTCCAGAAATGGCTAGAAAGATTCGCCTGTCAATGCTGATCAAGAATATATATGGTTTATAGGGTAGGAAATGACTCCTTCTCTGCGTTTTTAGCTTTCTACTGACACTATAATACCCTACCTGTAAGGATATAATAACTTGTAATATCATTATCTTAAAGAGTTTATCTCAGATTTCCCTTTAAATTAAATTATTTAATTTACAATCTCCCTAAATAACATCCACTGTAGTTTAAAAATATTCCACATTATTACAAAGTTAGTACCCAGTGGAGGGAGGAGGCTTGGGGGGCTGATTTGTTTGTCGGCTTTTTGCAAAACAGGTTTTAGTGTGGGAATAAAAATGAGCACAGCCCGGTGACAAGTTATAAAATTGCGCAATTTTGCAGCTACTTGGAGGGGGGACTATCTATATCCCAAATATACTCACGAGTGGATGGCCAAGACCTCCCATTGATCGATCAGGTGCATTTCGCCGAGTTATCCTTATCAGTCAGCGACACGAAAAACGACTTATCTGGCGGCTATTGACAAATCGAACTGACACCGTTCCGGCTATTTTACGATTCATGGTTAGAAAAATACAAAGTAAAAAGCACACAGATCTCGATTGGAAGCTTTTTCTCATTTGTTATTGTGGGGACAACAACAAAGGGAGGGTTTCCATTTATAAAATACTACGCATTTCAATTAATAAAATAGTCATAATTAAATTAAAGAGTCGCCAGCACGAGTCGTATAACAATAAGGTCGAGATTCAGAGATTATTCATATACGTGCATGGTGGGTAAATATATAAAGCCGAGGCATTTGCAGCAGCAGATGCAGCAGTAGCAGCAGCAGCACCAGTGTTTATATAGTAACTCGAGACCGCGAGACCATGTCGTCATATAGATTACAAGCTTTATCAATGCAGCCTCCCGTTTTACTTTTATTACATTTTTTATTGTGTGCCCCACAAAAGTTTCCATTGCTCAGATGCATCTATATATATACTATATACACATATGCTCTTTATGGGATGTGTGCAAATTGAACTAGCAGGTCAGATGAGGACATATTGGGGCCATCGGGCTGAGATGCACAGATATACACTGTGGAATCTGCTGCTGCTGCACTTCTACAGCTTCCAAGGGGGAAAACAACTGTCAGCCTAGAGAAGTCGTCTCCGGAGTGGAGAAGCCCCATGCTGGCTTCGGTTCCAATTACACTCAATTAAAGCATCCCGATCTCAATTCGAGCTGAAAGGCTGGGAGTTATTTTTGGAAACCTAATTGCAACTGCCAGGCGCTGAGTCACTCAGTGGATTGTATTTGCAATCGCAGGTATACGTACTATTTGTATTCCACAATTAGAAATACAAATCAAAGCAATATAAACCACTTTGAACCAGCTCCAAGCGCCATTAATCCATTCTGTAATCTAGAATAGACGTGCAAATATATCAAAGACTATATAGTATATGGACTAGAGCCCCCAATTGGAATTGCTGAACACGAGGGCAATCATTCAGCGGGCCATCAATCAACTGATCGCTGATTTAACGCCTTTGCGCCGTCTTGATTAATTTAATCATGTGTGTATATTTGTTTACTCTGCGAGGGTAAACAGCAAATGTACATAAATATATGAAACAAAATCGGAGTAAGCGATGAATGAACTATTACGACGTTGCAGACGGACTTTTGGTAATATAATCCCCGATCAAAGTACTATAATTTTAGTCAGAAGCTTAAAACGCAGTGAAAAAGTCATTTCCGACCCTATAAATCATATATATTCTTGATCAGCATTAACATCCGAATCGATCTAGCCAAGTCCGGTAGAAACAATTTTTTTGGAATTTGTTTTTCAAAATTTTATAAGGGGTTACATCATTAAAATTGTTAAAACTTGCTGAAAATTTTAATTTTTTTAATTATAAAATTTAGTATGCAGATTTTTAAAACTAATAAAAACTAACACAGAAAAGCTTTCCGAATTGAAATTAGTTTAGTTTTGGCTGAGTTATGATCTTTTTAAGATTCAGTCTCCTGTCCAATTTCAAGTTTTAGGGTATACAAAATCCGGCTTTCCAAAGTTAGCTGCCTTTGTTTATTATTGCAGTCGTTGTTAGTGCTGAATAAAAACAACAAGCGACATCGATACCACAAGTATACATTGTTTAATAGCATACATACTACACTATACTGCGGTAATCTTCGTAACAGAATTAATTGAATGAAATTATCATGAGATTTGTTACTTCTAAGATTACCTTACTTATTAGAATGCATTTGAATTTGAATTTTAGATTTGTTTGTAAGCTATTTATAGAGTTTTTTTATGGCTCAGAGTTAAGAGATCAATAAGTTATGTTATTTTCTTACTGGTTTTAATTGACATTAGGCATTAATGATGAGTAATATTATTATCTTATTGATCATATTATCATGAATACATATTTCTTGCTATTTCTTAACGTTGAAAATATTAAATAATTTATTTCAAAAACATATATCGAGAGTTAGTCAACATAATATGCAAGTTTGTGCATATATCCTTGCTTTACAAGTTTAATTTTTAATAATTTCTATAAATAATCTCAGTTTCCTACAGTGAATAAGGCACTTCTAGTGATACTTGTCAGATAGGTGCCTTTCAGGGGCGTTAAAGTGCATTGACCAACCCAACACATCCAATATCAACAACTCGACAACTCTCTGTGGATATAAATATTTGCGTAAAAGTTATTACACGGGGTGGCCTTAAGCGATTTTCTGTTGACCAAGACGCAACAAAAAAGGCCAGGGTCGGATTTTCTAGTCTCCACTTCTCTTTTTTTTGTGGAAAATGAAAAATAAGGTCGGTTGAGGTCAGCCAGGATGACCAACCTGGCTGAGAAAAATCAATTCTTTACTCGGTTTACTAGCTTAGTTTTCTGGGAAATAAAATGGAGCTTGAGTCACCCTTTTTAGTAGAAACTCCGCCCCTGGCTGGACTCTTAATTGCAGCTTGTTAAGTGGTAAAGCAAAGAGTGAAAGAGTGTGGGACCTGACTTTTTAGCGGGGCAATTTCACGAAAGCCGGTCTCCCACGAATAGGAATAATAAAATAGGAGTGTTCCGTATTTGGGTTTCGATTAAATTAGGTAAAATATTATTCTTAAATCTTTAAATTTTCGAATAATCAATAAAAATCTGGATACGGAAACTAATATTAAACTGAGATACTTTTGGACAAAGTTTTCAGAGATTTAAAAATGTCAAGAGAATTTTTTTCAAGACAATTGATTTATATTTAATTATTTGATTTAATATACATAATAATATTCTTTTCAGACTATAATAAATTCCTAATGATTTCAAATCAGATTAATCTTGTATATATTTCCCAGTTTCCTTAATTTATTACTCGTTTTTACAGTCGAAATCAAAGACCAGAACACCCCCCCACTAGGTTTATCCCGAATATTTAGCAATTTTTTTATGTTAAATGGGGAAAAACTCACCTTGCCAGTCTTATCAAGGCCATCTTTGTTGTGTGTGCTTTTATTTCGGTTATAATTGACTTTGCGGACAACCTTTATTAGATTTTTGTACTGCTAGAAATTCGTCAGAGTCTCTATTTATTTGGTTCTCCTTTAGCTTCCTCTTTTCCCCTTCTATTTTGGCAGTGCAGAAAGTAACGGTAACTAGGCGAAAAAGGGGAGGAGGACGAACAGGAAGAAGAGCAAGAGCGGCAGAAAATTCTTTTGTTGTCTGCCACCAACACAGGCGCGCTTCCTCACACAGACACAAACACACACACACACACGCGAATGTAACACTCACACAACTGCAGTTATTCAGCCGGCACAACAACAACACCAGCTTTGCGCTTTTTCGATATTTTATTTATTTATTAACTTTAAAGATTTCCACTCGTTTGTTTACATTTTTCCACACGCGGAGCAAAGGTATTGCAGGTGCAGTTGCATTTGCCGAGTGTCGTCGGGGCGGTCAGTGGGAGTGTTGTGGCACTTTCTGGGGCATTATTCGCGGCCCGGCAGCTCTGTTTTCAGCGGTTTGGTTCGCGTTCTGCATTTATTATTCAAGTATTCAAGTGAAGCGGCGGCTGGCAAGTGCAGTGCAGTGCAGTGTTGCCAAATGAAAAGTTAGCTATGCTCCTATAAAATCTCAAAAAGTTGCAATTTCTCCCTAAAAAATCCACACCTGATATTCGAACCACACCAGATATTCCAATATTAAAACGAGAAAGTCTGGCAGCTTTGATGTAGATTTTGAATTTGAATTATAACGGAAGTAAAGAAAATCAATTAATAATGTTGAAATGGAAATGAAGTGCCTTGAGGAATTCAAATGTTTACCTTTAAACATTAAACAGTGTTTTTCATCTTAAAATATAACACATTCTAGCACATTTTTTTGCCATATTTTCTTATTTTTTCTGAGAAACTTGGTGGTAATAAAACGCAATCTAAACTCAAGTAGCAGCCCTTAAAGTTATAATATTAATTTCAAGTGGAATACAAAAAGACACTCCAAAAAGAGAATATCAAATATAGGCATAAATATGCATATATTAACGCTATAGTTTACACATATTAAAACATAACGCATATTCATAATATTTATGCTTAAAGCATATATTAACTCTATAGTATACAAATGATATGGGACCGGGCAGAAACTGAATATTCAAATTAACTTCACGCAAACTTATTATGTTTTAGAATTATGCAATCTGCCAAAGAACTCGGTCAACGCTTAGCGGTTCTTCGGTATATAAGAACAGGGGCCTTGAACCTGAGAATCAGTTGGAAATCATCGGACCTGGCTACAAGAGCTTCTGAACATGAACCTGCTTACTGGATTACTTATAGTGCTCTGCCTGATAGCATTCGTTAGTGGTAAGTAGAGCTTATTCGCTATGAGATGACAGGAGTAATCCTTTGAATTTATTACCATAGCTGAAGGCCATCGAAGCAGAAGGCAAAACTTTAAAGTTTTAAAGCAACGGAGACTCAATCCGGATAATTTGGGTCGTCGTGGAAACTATAGAGATGACTTTAAAGAGGAAACTATATCCTTATCGAGTCCCACAACCACAACCACGACAACAATAACAGGAACTCCAACAACATCACCAGCAGCACCAACATCACCAGCAGCACTAACATCACCAGCAGCACCAACATCACCAGCAGCACCAACAGCAACAGCAGCAACAGCAACAAAATTTAATAATTATAAAAATAACAAAGACTATCTGGAGTATGACCAACTTGTAAATAGCTTCGACCAGGACGATTCAGATGACATGATCGAGATGTACAGACCCCGTCGGAGGAAAAACCGTCGTCAGCCCAGCCGTCATCGTCACAATCACCGCCAATAGAAACCCAGTACTTTTATAATAACAAATGCATTTTAACTGAAACATATAATATACAAAACCTTATCGATCACGCGATAACATTTTTAAATCATACAATAAAGTATAACTAGAACAACTTGAAAGTGAAAGTATAATCAATTCGGTAATGTTAGAAATGTAATAGAAATGATACTATGGGCATGTAAAATTGATACTGAAATTATATGGTTATTTATGCATTTTAAGATTACATTAATGTAAATCATTTAGGTAATGAGTTATAATTTCTTTGTTTGTTCAATTTAATATATGAAATTTGTTGATTTTATCGATAGTAGGTGTTTTTGTTAGAAATATTTATATTACCGAGGTAAAGTTTGTTACGAGTTAGCTAATTTTTGCTTTTATGTTAAAGATATAAAAGTTAAAAATTGATATTAAAAGCATAAAAAATTTTATTTTCATAATGTTGTGCATGTGTTTTACAAAGAGTTTGTTAAATATTCAAACATTTTTACTATGTAGGTCAGAGGGAATTAATATGAAACTTTCTGAAATGGGAAAGATACCTGATAATTTTAACCATATGAAAGCCGTTATGTAAAATCATTGTCTAGATTCTAAAATGTTATGCTTACGGCTTATCAATGCAAATTAGCCCTTCTTTGGCTTGTTCTGATGGCATATAAAGCGGCGGATCTTGATTTTTTCAGGCAGTTACTAAAGTTTGGGACTCGCATAAAGATCATTCGTGGAATACAACCTCTGACATGAACCTGCTTACAGGACTATTCGTATTGCTCTGTCTGATGGCCTTTGTTAGTGGTAAGTGTAACTAGTTCCCTATAAATGACAGGAGTAATCCTTTGGGTTTGTTAATATAGCTGAAGGCCATCAAAGCAGATGGCGGAAGTTTAAACTTTATAAGCAACGGAGGCACAATTCGGATAATTTGGGTCGTCGTGGAAACTATGGAGAGGAAACTATATCCTTATCGAGTCCCTCACCCTCCCCCTCACCCTCACCATCACCTTCACCCTCACCTTCACCCTCACCTTCACCTTCACCCTCTCCCTCGCCCTCGCCCTCGCCCTCACCCTCAGAAACAGGACATATAAAAGCAACCACATCAACAAGAACTCTCACATCTAATAATGGGAAAGAAGACAAAGGGTATGACCAACTTATAAATGACTTCAACCAGGAGGATTTAGATGACAAGATCGAGCTAAACAGGCCTCGCAGGAAGAAAAGCCGTCGCCAGACCACTCGTCGCCGTCACCATCACCATCAGTAGAAGCCAAGCTTATATAAAAGGAATCTTTGACACCATAGACCTGTGATGTTCATATATTGGAGGATACTGCTTTCGTTTGTCATCCATTTATCAATTATCATCTGTAGAATTGAACTCCAGAGATGAAGCTGCTATTCGTCGTACTCTGCCTCCTGGATCAGTTCCATCACCAACAGGAACTATAACGTGACAACCAACAACTTCAACATCAGCATCATTTTAAATCATAAAATAAAGTGTAACCAGAAATACCTAGAGGTAAAAGTGTTATTAATTAAATAATGTAAGAAGTGTGATTTTAACCATGGGAATCAATGCGAACTTAAAACGGTAAAATAGTGATCTTTTCAAAAATCATATGTTAATAAAGAAAGTCTTTATGTAAAATGTATACTGAAATAATATTGTATCTTTGCATTTTAAAATTACACTAACATAAACTTTGTGGTTTATAAAAAGGACCGTGTAGACCAAGATATTATCTAATAAATAATAAATATTTTTTGGATGGTTCAATTTAATATTAGAAATTTCTTGATTTTATCGATAGTTAAAATTAAAGTCTGTTACGAGTTAGCTAATTTTTGCTGTATGGTAGTTTTTATGTTAAAAATATAAAAGTTAAAAATTGAAATTAAAAGCCTAAAAAATTATATTTTCATAATTTTGTGCACGTGTTTTACAAAAAGTTTGTTTCATATTCAAACATTTTTTCCATGTAGGTCAAAGGGAATTAATATGTAACTTTCTGAAATGAAACAAAAGAAACGTGCTAATTCCAACCATATGGTGGCTGCTATGCAAATTATAAGCAATAATTCTAGAATGTTAAAGTTACGGCTTATTAGTGCAAATTAGCTCTTTTTTGGCTTGTTCTGATGGCATATAAAGCGGCGGGTCTTGATATTCTCAGGCAGTTACTAAAGATTGGGACTCGCATAAAGATCATTTGTGGAATACAACCTCTAACATGAACCTGCTTACTGGACTATTCATATTGCTCTGCCTGATGGCCTTCGTTAGTGGTAAGTATAACTAGTTCCCTATAAATGACAGGAGTAATCCTTTGGGTTTGTTACCATAGGTGAAGGCCATCGAAGCAGAAGGCAGAAGTTTAAAGTTTTTAGGCAACGGAGAATGAGTGGAACAAATCTATCCCCGAAAGCTTCACATAGAATTATAGAACCTGTAACATCAACACAATCGCCTCCACCACCACCATCACCAACAGGTCGTTCATATTATAACAATGATCATTTTGAGTACGACAAACTTGTGAATAGCTTCGACCAGGAGGATTGAGATTATTTGCAGAAGGAAGAGCCGTAAAAATTATAAATGCATTTTAAGATTAAACTCTGATCAATAAAGCCTAATGAAATATTCCCAAAATACCGGTTTGAGTTTGAATTGAAATGTGACCTAATTATTTTACTCTCGGCGCTAGGTTTAGTTGGTTGACATTCATAATTTGAAAAGCGTTTTCAAACTAGAAATAAGTGTAAAATGTTTTAGTTTTACTTGGTATATAAGTTTTCATTTTATAACAGATGATTTTATAATAAAACACTGTGGAAACAAATGCCAGGTCAGACATGCTAATCCGGGAGCTGTTATGCAAATGGCAGGCAAAGCGTCGATCAGTTAACGATTCTGAGATGTTAATATTTCGGTTTAGCTACTAGTATTATAACTAACATTATGCAAACTAGGCTCAAGTTGGCTAGTATATAAAAAGATGGGCCTTGAACTTGACAGTCAGTTACACAGAGTCAGGCTTTGCTTTTAGATCATTGGTAGAACTTAACTCTGGAGATGAAGCTGCTCAATGGACTGTTCGTGGTACTCTGCCTGCTATTAATTACCACAGGTAAGTAATAATTCATCTAGAAACAGCGGGATTAATCCTAAGAGTTTCATATCATAGCTGAAGGCAATCGGTTAAGGAAAAAGCAGAACTTGCCCCTGGCTACGCTACAGAGACTTAGTCCCGCCATATTCGGTCGTTCAGAAGTCTCTGGAGAAGAGATGAACTCAAGCACTTCCCCCTTCCCTGATGCTACAGTAACTACTTCTAAACCTTCCACTGAATCTACAACAGAAATACCAAAACACAAAGATAATCTGGGAATAACCAAATTTCTGGATAGCTTGAATTTCGATCAAGTAGACAAGGCAATCGAGAACTTAAATATACCAGAGTTTAAGAAATAGATTTAAAGTTTGAAATAATATCTAAACAAACTTAAAAATAAAGTACTGTTCAAAATATCCTACAAAATCAAGTGTATTAGTATTCAATTTCAAAACCAGACATTCAACTAGTTGACAAGAATTATATTGTATATTTTCCACTCCTCAAATAAAATTTCTTATACAAAATGTGGGAGCAGCTGGAGCGATATCGCAATCACTTTTTACAACGCGAAATCAAGGATGTGATGAAGCCCAGCTCCATCAACAATCAGCAGAGAATGGGTAAGTTTTAGTTTATTTTGAAGAGAATGTAATTAAAAAAATATATACTCAGAGTGGGCGGAGGCCTTGGAGAAGCGGGATCTCTGCAAGTGCTTCCCCGATCGCGACTCGGTGGCCTCCAAATACTTTGATGATAGGGCCAAGTTGGCCTACGGTTGGTTTGCTCTGCCCAAATTGATGAAGGAAATGGACAGCGATGTTCGCCTGACCCACTGGAAGGCTATTGTGTCCTTGACGGAATTCCTTTTGAATCCCTTGAATGCCCAGACTGCCATCACCGAATATGATATTGTGAGAAAGTGGGTTGTTGTTTTATAGTTTTTTGTTTTCTCTTGAGATAATAATGTTTATTTCTACATGAAAAAGGTTAAAGAACGCCTTTATGCGTTTGAGATTGAAGCATCACAAGGAGGAATACCGCGAAGGCGAGATGTACCTCAAGATTTATAGTGAGTTTTAGGGATATAAATATTTAGTTAGTTTAATTTTCTTCAAGACATTCTTTCACGTAATTTGAATGGCGCCGAAAATATTGCCAACCGCAAGTGTCTTCGGGTGGAGTTTTATAAGATCATCAAGGCCCAGGAAGACTTGAAAGAGGAGTTGGCTTCTGAGATACTTCGAAATTTGACGGGCAAGACAAAGGGTGAGATTGGATACACTTTTAACGATTTTTCCAATATTTATGCTTTCCCTCTTAGTTCTTTCAATTATTTTGGAGGATCCCGAGAACTTCTCCTCCCTGGCCGACATCTTCAAGCAGGACCCCTGTCGCCCGCACTATCCCATACATTTGTGGCACCACCTGTGCCACCTGCTCGAAGTGGCCCCGGAGCAGGGACTGGAGTTGGGCTTCTTCGAGCTGCTCCACTTTAGGATCCTCAATCGTTTGCCCGACTTTCGGGATATGGCCACCAAGGCCTTCGCCCTGCTGCTTCGCTGTACCGAGGGCCAACGACGCTTCGATGACGTGGATGGAGTCAAGCTCCTGCACGACATCTTTGCCACGATGGATGGGAAGCCACGAAAATTGCTGCCTCTTCAGAACTGGGAGTACCTGGTCCTGGCCCTGGTCAATGGACTGCACAGCAAGAAGGCTCTGTGGCGGAGCCGGGAGTTCACCATGCTGCCTTGCTATGTGGGTCGAATCATGCAGACGACGGAGGACAATCCACGGCTGCAGTTGCACTGCCTGAAGGCTCTCCGGGAGCTGGGCATGATGCCGTGCATCAAGCGCTATATTATTGGCAACTGGCTGGGGGACATCTGCAGGCTGTTTTGCCTGGATGCGGAGGCCGAGTGTGCTAGGGATGCGCTGGTCGACTGGCTGCGTCGCGATATAGCCGATAGTAGTAGTTAATGTCTTTACTGTGTTTTGTTTGCGTTTCATAGAAGAGAAAACATAGCATTTCCCCGCCCTTAAACCGTTTAGATAAATTCAATCTACCCCTCAAAACTCGCTCCTGGTCCCAAAGAGAGTCCTTTGAGGAAAAAGGGGATGCTTTTGGGACACAGAGAGAGAGAGGGAGAGTGAGCTTTTCAGAGAGCAGTTGCTGCCAGCTGTTCTGGCTTTAGCTTTAAAATAAAATAAATTGTGGTTAATATTTAACACCTCTAAAAATCTATAGATTATATCTGGACTATAAATAAATTCAAAAATACATTTCCTTTGCTTGCCTTGACCCTGCCGAGTTCATTTTTGATTTATATATATTTATTTAAACATAACTTTTTGCATATTTATGGACACTTGACTGCAGAGTGCCAACTGCCAAGAAGGCGACAACTTTTCCAATTTCCGATGCCTGGACATTGGCCATAATAATGAGCACTGACACTGCAAGAGGATGCCAGGATGCAGCGTTGCCAGGACAACCACCGCAGCAGTAACAACAACAACAACAACAAGAGGGGAGACAGGAAAAGTAACAACCACTGACCAGAGTAGCCGCAGTAACCGCAGTTTGCGGTTCCTTTACTGCTGTCCCCCCCCCATCTACATATTTTTATATCTATGTAGGATTCTTCCTCCCGCTGGCTCCTTGCTATCCATATAAATATATATATAATCCCATTTTTTCTGTATTATTTTTCTGCGGTGACAAACTTGGCAACGAGTTGCAGTTGCTTTTTTTAATTTATTTGGATTGGCGACGACTAAAAGAGTTCCTTGTCCCAGGACAATGTGGATCCAGGACATTTCGCATTCAATCGGCAAGTTTTGTGCTCTGTCATCGAGGCGGCGTCGACGGCGGAATTCTTCCAAAGTCTCTGGTCGCCTCTTTTGTGAACTTTTTAATTACCGCTGCGAGTTTCGCCTTGTTTTCTTTGTGGTCTTTTCTTCACTTCACTTTGGTTTTTTTCTATTTTTCTCATTTTTCAAGTTGTTTATGAAATATTTTATGGAAATTATGCAAAACTTGTTTACCCGACTTCATATTCAGCCATCAGCGCTCGCCATTTGGCGCCTTTCACACAAAGTTCCCCCACTTTTCGCCACTCAAATTAATTGCATAACAAATTGTGTTGATGAAGTGCATGGAATGCCCAAGTCTATGTCTATAGTAACGGAGATTTCCAAGGGTCAGAGGGCGGCTATCCAGCACGGCCCTTGAGGTCAGTCATGGCTGAAGCTCTGAAATAATTTGCTAAATATTCTGGCAGCTTAGCCCTTGAGTAAGGCCAGTGAAAGCCTCCTCTCCTACACTTACCAACCCCCAGTCCTGCCCTGAATATACCCTTTGATGGGTTCTATTATCGACACATTAGCCTACTAACGATGGCAATTATTGGGACTCCCAAAACATCATCGAGCTCTCCACTCTTCAGTTCAGTTTCATCGATGGCCCTTTGGCGTTGGTCGCCCTTTCGCCTGAGCAACCGTTACCTGAGCTATCACCTGCTCCTCCTGCTGCGCTTCTACTTGGCCCAGTACCGTTGCCTGGGTCTGATGCGTCTCCGCTACGCGGCAGACCGGAACGAGGTGCGTCTGACTCACTACAGTGTCACGATTGCCAGGATGATTGGCCTGCCGTTCGCCTTCTTCTTCACCCTGGCCTTGAAGGATCCCTATCGGTTGATGCTGCACATACAGCTCCTGGGCTTCAGCTGCTCCATAATGCTGCAGCCCAGGCGAGTCGTCGAGGAGCGCACGCGACTAGTGAATGAGTTCCTGCGACTTACGCCGCAGCTCTATCGCTGCTGTCACAGGAAGCTGAAGATGTCCTGGCTGGCCATCCTGCAGTGGCTGCTGAAGTTCCTCAGCTTCAGGATATTCTACATGGCTCTGCTGATACCCACGGATACCACCTACATGATCTTGTTGATGCTGCTCTTCGTGGTGCCCGTGACCCTGGCCATTTGGGTGATGGACGTGACCTCGCACCTGGTCAGCATTGCACTCTTTCTTCTGCTCAAATCCTTTCAGGTGTTGGACGAGGAAATGGCAGCCGTGGGCGAGAAGCTGCCATTGGAGATCCTTCGCGGTAATTATTCAGAAATTCGCAGGTTACAACGTCACCTGGTGGCCCTGCAGCGCCTGCACCGATCGTATGTGAGGCTCACCCAGGAGGTCATCGGCTGCCTGGGTCCCCAGATGGTTCTGATCCTCCTCTACAACCTGAGCACTATATACACCCTGTCCAGTGGCCGCTGGTGGCGTACCATCCAGATCACGGTTCTGGTTAACAGTGTGCGATCGCTCTTGGTGTCACTGGATCAACTGGTGGCCATGACCAGAGCTCGGCAGGACACCACGTGGTTGCATGTGGCCCAGCTGCTGCAGTTTGACGAGATCCTGGCCACATATGGCTGGTTGGAACGCAAGAAATGGAAGTGGAGATGGCGGTGCCAGGACCCCGACTCCAAGATTCCTATTCTTCAACCTGGACTGCAGATCCTGGGTCTGGTTATACCCAACAGACGTCTCCTGTTCCGCATTGTCTTTGCATTTTGCAGTGTCCTGCACTTGCATTACATGTGGAAGAGATCGGCGTTGGTGGCCGAGAAGGAGATCATCATTGATTCGGAAATTGGCTCAAAAGGAGGGTTTTGAGTTTTGAAAGGGGATTTTTGAAAGAGCAATAAAATAATTGAATATTAAATCTTGTCAATAAGATTATTTTTATTCGATTAAAGGACTAAATCCTTGTTCTATGCCTTTTTATATATACTATTTTCACAGAGATTTCCCACAAATAATTTCTAGAGATTATAATCAGCTTACTAAATTAGTTTTAAAAGACTTAAAACTCTTTAGAACAATTTAAAAACTTCCCAAAGTAATTTCGAAATGAAAGAAAATATTTACCCGCATGATTAATGAAGGTTAAGCCCCATTGTTTATGAAAGTAAAGTTTGCTCCTTGCCAAGGACCCTAGTAAACTATGTAGTTTCGCCGCCAAAGTATACCCATTTCTCACATGCTTTGATTAACTTTCCCGGGGAAACTCTCGGGGACTCGGGGTCGGCTTTAAGACATTTATCATCTATTTATTGCACTCCAAATAATATTTGTTCAATGGAACACGCACTTTACACGGGAGTCGAAGGAGCCCTCTTGGAGGCGACTCCTGCGGGTAATTTTAAATAATTTATGCATTCGCCCCTGCTGTAACATGTACAAAAATAACAAGAGGAGGCGCTTCCTTATTTTCCGGCTCCTGCTTTCCCCACACAATGCCGACACCCCCGCTGTGAGTGCCTGCCTGATATATGTAATTGCATGGCTGGCCGAGCACTTGAGGTGTTGGTGGGGTCCTTCGTCCTGCTGCTGCTTCTGCTATCCTCTCACACATGCCCTTCCTTCCGGCAAGATGGGGCTGCGGATCCATAAATCATTTTTAAAACATTACCTCAACGAATGCGAATAAGTAGAAATATTTTATGTATACAATTTTGCACCTTCTCTAAAGCGGCCCAAGATTTATAGGGAGCTTGGCCCCAAGGATTTTCGCCCAGGATTGTCACACAGTTGGGTTGATTAAATTCCAGCAGCACTGAATCTGGTTCCTGGTGAATCTCTCTGGCCCAGTTTTGCCATTCGAATTTATGGCCATTGCTCGCTCTAATCTTGTTTATTCCTATTCCTTTTCCCTTTCCATTTTCGGAACAGAAAACCATTGAAAATCAATTAAACTTTTATGGTGCAGAGCAGGGAGATACAGAGACAGTAAAAATAAGGGAATTTTAAAGCAATTTTAAAGCCATTTTAATTGAATGTAGTTGGGTAATAAAAACATTTTATCGGGACTTTAAGAGCTTGAAAAACTTTTGACTTTGATTCGAGTTTGGGGAAACTTCTTATCCCGATATCTTTCATCTTTTGGGGAGCTCCTTCAAAGGACAATGGAGTGTGACAACTGTAGAGGGTGGAGAGCAGCAGGGCCCTTTCACACTTGTTGTTATTCCAAGAATTTTACACTTCGCCGAAAGGCCAATAATTTGCAAAACATAATGTAAGTTATGCCGACGAAATTAAGCCGCTGGCGTGGAAGGAAAGAAGATATATATATTTCTATGGGTGGGAGGAATATATCTGAGAGTAAGGGAGCTCCAAAGCAGCTTTATGTATAAATCTCTTTAATTTATTAGATTTCATTAGACATTTCGGCGTTGAGTCTGGCCGCGGGTGGTGGATTGAGGCTTTTCGGGGGGAAGCTACCACGATTTTTATATTAACAAGCTTTGAAACATGACTTTTCCTTGTGCGCCCCCATAAAAAGTAATAATGTGGCCCGTAAAATCGTTAGCCAGCGGCCAAAAGGGAGAAGGCTAAGATAAAAGGGACAAAGTAATGAAGGTGTAGCATACTTTTTGGGGCTCCGCAATATTTTTATCAAATTAAAAGCTATTTAGTTGTATATTTTATTAATAATTTAATATTTTAATTTAATAATAATAATTTTACACAAACTTGGCTTGTGCTTTGGATCTGCAAAACCCCGAATTTAAATACATTTCAGAAGTATCCTTTGGCCATATCTCTTTACTCACACACACATGTATAATTTAGGATCACTCCAAATAAATTACACACTCAACGATGTCACTCCCACACACACACACACACACACATACAACGTGTAATCAACAAAATTACACTAAAATACAAAGCAAAAAAAAAGACGAGAGAAGAGAAATAAATTTGACACGAATGCGTCGACGAGGCACTATGGGGTTTTTGACCAGTTTTTGTGGCATTAATTAATAACTCGATCAGTTTTGAAGATATCGACATGAAACTTTACCAATCATCATTATTTGTCCCTAGGCACATATAGTATGAAAATCGTTCGGATCAGGAATCTATATCCTATAGCTCCCATAGGAACGATCGGGTAAAAGTAAAAATATATTAATGAAATTTAAGGAGCTTATATTTGATGCTATTTTAACACGATATAGTAATTTTGAACAAAATCGGACAACGCTTTCCCTAGGAACTAAAATAACCAAAATACCGGAATTCAGTGTTTTCCCATACAAACAGCTACCAAATTGGCTCTGAAAACAGTGAGGTTATCTGAGAAAAATTCAAATTGCAACAAAAGTGCGGAAAAGTGCACGATAAGACTAACTGCTTTTTGCTCAGAATTGACAACGCTACAACATACACTTGGACGCATTGAAAACTAATGCGAACTTCTATTTCAAAACTCTTCCCAAAGTTTAAATTTGTTTCTCAAAATTCAGCTTAAGGTGCATTTATAAAATGACAAAATGTCAGTATAAACACGCACAATTTAAACAATTAATACCTTTAACATGTAGTTAAAACCTGTGAAATTAGTGTCCATTAGTTTTTTCCTTTGCAAATTGTGTCTTACACGAATAGTTTAACTTCAAAGATCACTTCGTAAAAATTACAAACTTAGCAGACGCGCTTTCGGATGCAACAGCTGACTTTACAGCTCTGTTGCTAACGTATGCTGTTAAGTATTAACATTTTGAGTATGAGGCATAACAGTTCGATGTTTTGTTAATACAATCCCACTATTTTTTTTTTAAATTTAAGAACTTTTAAAAATGATTAAATGCCACAAAAAGTGGTCAAAAACCCCATAGTGCGAGGATGACACAAAAGCGGCACCTTCCAAAAAAAAAAAAAAGGAAACCCTTACTGCTGCCCCAAAACCGAAACCCCCTTCGCCTGAACCCCCTCCGGTAACACCCCTTTGCCGCCTGCCCATGAAAGCCAAAGTAAAAATGGCACAACGCTCGAAGCCAAACAATGTAAAAGTTGCTGCCAGGACATGACGAGGCGAGCAAGTGGCAGGCTCTGGCTCCTGTAGGTGTGCAACCAAGTCTGTACACGGCAAGAAAATTAGTAATATTTATTTTAAATGTAATTTGAAATATGGAGAGTCATTTCCGATCCTATAAATAAAATATAATATTGAAAATTGAAATACAAAAATAATTTCTTTTTCTCTTTTTAAGATTTGTAAATACATTTTTGTTAATCTTTCATGTCTTTAACCATGTTCCCCTCGGATTTCTCTCACTGTACTTTGACAGAAGTGTGCGTGTATGTGGGTGCCATTGAGTGTGTGTCATGTGCGACACTTTGTAACATATTTTTTCTCATTTGTTTCCACGCGCGTCTGTCTGCGTGTGAGTGTTTGCCGCTTTTTCGGCGTCACTCGTCAGTGTCTCCTTCTCTCCCCACACTCTTTACTCTTCTCTTCTCCTCCTTTATGTCAATTCACGTGTGCCTGTGCCCATATGTGTGAGTGTGTGTGCTATATTGTTTTTGTCACGCAACGCACAGTCACAGTCCCCTCTGCCTCCCCCTCTCCACGTATCAAACAGTTAAAAATATTTTCCGCTGCCAAAGGTTGCAGGCATGCCCTGGTTTCCCCCTAGTTGTTGTTGTAATTTTTATGGCTACATTTATAACATTTATTTTGTATTTTTACGAGCTGAATTGTCTTTTGTTGCTTTATTATTATGTCTCACTTTGGCTTTTTATGAGAGTTTTCCTGCAAAAAAAAAGGAGAGAGAGGGAAAAGCGAGACAAAAAGGGAAAACTCGGGCACAACTGTGAGCGAAAACCAAATTGCCAGGCTGGGTAATGACATTTTAAGTGTGCCCCCCCAGAGGGGTAAAGGGTCTAAAAAATATTATAACCAAATATCTGGCAGGCTCTTCCACAAAGGCCATAATTTGGTCATAACTTCCTTGTCGCAGCTCAGGTAGCATTTTTGAAGGGACGTTTTTATGACAATCAGTTTTGGTTTTTGATGTTATTTTTATATTTATCGTAAATAAATTAATTAAGAAAATATTTCAAAAAAAGAAAGAAAACTAACTTCGGGAAGCCGAAATTTGTATACCCTTGCAGTTTGCCATAGGATCTTTCATCCAATCAAAAACCGATCATAATTAAGCCAAAAAAGCATCAAATTCAATTCGGAAAGCTTTTCTGTGCTTGTTTTTTCTAGGGTAACAAAACTGCATACAAAATTTAAAATTTTAAGATATTACACTTTTTGCTACTTTTTTCTGTGACAATTGAAGCATTTTAAGACATAAAAAATACAAAACAAAATTAAGAAAAATGTTTTTCTTCTAAACATAGCTAGATCGACTCCGCTTTTTGTGCTGATCAAGAATATATATGATTTATAGGGTCGGAAATGACTCCTTCACTATGTAACACACTTTTGACTGAAATTATAATACCCTGCAAGGGTATAAAAAGATTATTTAATTTTTGGTCTACCTTGTTTCTGTTTTTTTTTTCTTTTTCGAAATGATCTTATGCTTTGACTTTTACTCGCTTTGTTCTACGTTGTGCCTGCAATGTACAAGCAACCCTTTCTGTCAGTAAAGAAAGAGAGAGTTAAATTTGTTCTGTATTTTGAGATTTCAAAAATGAATTTAAAGTAGGCCATGTTTTTTATTCTCCCTTATTTACTCTAAAATTTTTAATAATAAATTAATTTAATGTAAAGGAAAAGTGAGCTGAGGTTGTCTTTTTGTTCTCAACCATGGCGACATCTTATATCAAACCTCGACTGCATTTTTCATGCACGTTTAGACAATAGTTGT